ATAGATAGATAGATAGATAGTTTATTGACAACGTTTACATACAATGGTACGTTTGAAGTCCTATTACATAATTAGATAATGTTTTTACAACAACAATAAATATAAAACATACAAAGGTTACAAATTTATAAAGAATACAAAGGTCACAAATTTATATAAAATACAAAGGTCACAAATTTATAAGAAATACATAGGTCACAAATTTATAAAAATCACTAATATTAAAAACACTTAACATTAAAAAAAAAAAAACACAAATAAACAAAATAAAATACCTTCTATTGGTTTAACATTAAAAAATATTCATCAATATTATAAAAACAGTAAGTCAGTAAGAAATGTTTTGCAAAGTTTTTAAAAGTTGTTTTTGACATTAAATCAATTCTTACAAGACTAAAATGTTTTCTTAATGAATTATACAGGGAGACATCTAAAGAATTGTTTTTAGTTATTTGTATCCTCGATTTACTAACGATTATGTCTTAAATAATAATAATAATAATAATAATAATAATAATAATAATTATTAATAATAATAATAATAATAATAATAATAATAATAATAATAATAATAATGATAATGATAATAATAATAATAATAATAATAATAATAATAATAATAATAATAATAATAATAATAATAATAATAATAATAATAATAATAATAATAATAATAATAATAATAATAATAATAATAATAATGATAATGATAATGATAATAATAATAATAATAATAATAATAATAATAATAATAATAATAATAATAATAATAATAATAATAATAATAATAATAATAATAATAATAATAATAATGATAATAATAATGATAATAATGATAATAATAATAATGATAATAATAATAATGATAATAATGATAATGATAATAATAATAATAATAATAATAATAATAATAATAATAATAATAATAATAATAATAATAATAATAATAATAATAATAATAATAATAATAATAATAATAATAATAATAATAATAATAATAATAATAATAATAATAATAATAATAATAATAATAATAATAATAATAATAATAATAATAATAATAATAATAATAATAATAATAATAATAATAATAATAATAATAATAATAATAATAATAATAATAATAATAATAATAATAATAATAATAATAATAATAATAATAATAATAATAATAATAATAATAATAATAATAATAATAATAATAATAATAATAATAATAATAATAATAATAATAATAATAATAATAATAATAATAATAATAATATCGTTTATTGACCACATTACATACTTCTGTGTACATTTGAAGTCACAATAACAATTTACAAGTTTTACAATGAGAAAACAAGAAAAAAAAATAAATAGTACAAACCTAAAGTACAATTATTAAAATTTAAAAATGTAGTTAGATCATCTGTATAGGTATATAAAAAAAGATTGTAATCAGTTTCAGTAAAATGTTAAAAGTTATAAAATTATACATTTAAAACATTGCATTAAGAGAGAAAAAAATATAAAATAAGATATACATAATATAAAGTCAACTTAAAATTAAAATTAAAATTTAATACGAGTAATTAAAAATAAAATCAGAAAAAATTTTGTCTTTCTGTGACTCTAAAAAATTCCGTAGTTGAGTAGAAACAGTGCTCCAACAAGAACTCAGTAGCAATTTTTTTAAAACTGTATAAAGTTAGGTTTCTTATATTTTTATTTTGATGGTAATTTATAAAGAAGTTATATATGCCTACGTCAGGTTTGTTATTATGTGTTGTCGCTAATCTTGAATATGGGATTGCAAAATTCTCCCTGTGCCTTGTGTTATAAGTGTGTAAGTTCATATTAAGGGGTACTTGATAGTTTTTTTTATGTATCCACAGTAAGGTGTCAAGTATATATACACAAGGTAGTGGGAGAATTCTACAAGTCTTGAAGAGAGGTTTGCAGGGAGTACCGTAGGGGACACCAGCAACAATCCTTACAGCAGCCTTTTGACAACTGAAAACCCTTTGTAGAGCACTGGTTCTACCCCAAAGCAGAGTACCATATTGTAAATGGCTGTGAACTAGAGCAAAGTATACCGACCTACACGCGTTTCTGTTTAGACAATAGCTTATTCTACGCAGAACAAATGTTTGTGAGGACAATTTAGCACAGAGGGAATTTATATGTGCGACCCAGTTTAAGTTACTATCAAGAGTAACACCCAGTAATTTTACAGGTTCGGATTTAGTTACCCATTTATCTAAGCTAAACAAAATATTGTTATTAATAATTATAATAATAATAATAATAATAATAATAATAATAATAATAATAATAATAATAATAATAATAATAATAATAATAATAATAATAATAATAATAATAATAATAATAATAATAATAATAATAATAATAATAATAATAATAATAATAATAATAATAATAATAATAATAATAATAATAATAATAATAATAATAATAATAATAATAATAATAATAATAATAATAATAATAATAATAATAATAATAATAATAATAATAATAATAATAATAATAATAATAATAATAATAATAATAATAATAATAATAATAATAATAATAATAATAATAATAATAATAATAATAATAATAATAATAATAATAATAATAATAATAATAATAATAATAATAATAATAATAATAATAATAATAATAATAATAATAATAATAATAATAATAATAATAATAATAATAATAATAATAATAATAATAATAATAATAATAATAATAATAATAATAATAATAATAATAATAATAATAATAATAATAATAATAATAATAATAATAATAATAATAATAATAATAATAATAATAATAATAATAATAATAATAATAATAATAATAATAATAATAATAATAATAATAATAATAATAATAATAATAATAATAATAATAATAATAATAATAATAATAATAATAATAATAATAATAATAATAATAATAATAATAATAATAATAATAATAATAATAATAATAATAATAATAATAATAATAATAATAATAATAATAATAATAATAATAATAATAATAATAATAATAATAATAATAATAATAATAATAATAATAATAATAATAATAATAATAATAATAATAATAATAATAATAATAATAATAATAATAATAATAATAATAATAATAATAATAATAATAATAATAATAATAATAATAATAATAATAATAATAATAATAATAATAATAATAATAATAATAATAATAATAATAATAATAATAATAATAATAATAATAATAATAATAATAATAATAATAATAATAATAATAATAATAATAATAATAATAATAATAATAATAATAATAATAATAATAATAATAATAATAATAATAATAATAATAATAATAATAATAATAATAATAATAATAATAATAATAATAATAATAATAATAATAATAATAATAATAATAATAATAATAATAATAATAATAATAATAATAATAATAATAATAATAATAATAATAATAATAATAATAATAATAATAATAATAATAATAATAATAATAATAATAATAATAATAATAATAATAATAATAATAATAATAATAATAATAATAATAATAATAATAATAATAATAATAATAATAATAATAATAATAATAATAATAATAATAATAATAATAATAATAATAATAATAATAATAATAATAATAATAATAATAATAATAATAATAATAATAATAATAATAATAATTAATAATAATAATAATAATAATAATAATAATAATAATAATAATAATAATAATAATAATAATAATAATAATAATAATAATAATAATAATTAAGCTTAACTTTAGCATCAACGCTATCAAAATTTTAAGTTTTAGTTAATTTTCTTAGTAAGTTAACCTTCTGTTAACTTATTTGGTTTTAATATTGCTTTTTCCACACAGGTGGATGTAATTATTGCAGACCAAAAGGTCTAATACCTAGTCAGGGGTATATTTTTGGGGAATAATGGCATTCCTTCTTTAGTATCAATTAGTCTTTTGGGCAATTTACGTAACCTCAGGGGTAGTAAAAGACGTCTTTGAACCACCATTTTTCTGTGTTGCGACTAGATCTCACACAAACATATTCATTTTCATGCAGTAGGAGTATTACCGATGACAAATTAAGCAAACAGACCAGAAAAAGTCTTGAACGTAGTCGATCCAAGTGGAGATCTAGTTCATCAGCCTCAGAACGTCGGTGAATCTGCAACATAGAGCGTCGAGAGACCTTAGACAAGGCTCCTTCCTGAATAGAAACCGAACCGAATACCACTTCGTTTGAACTCCTGAACAGACTAGATCACCTCCAGAACCAGCAGGACCATCCCTCAGCTTAGTCATCCGGTAACTTAAATAGAAACCGAGCTGAGCTTACTTGTATTTATTGTTGTGCAGGTTACTTAAATTGCCTATAATTATTTTTTCTTACTACAATTTATTTGTTTGCTACATTTTCATACTTAATTCTATATATTTGGAACCTTCAGTTCACATTGTCATTTAAGAATTGATTTAACATTGTGGGAACCTTCAGTTCAAATTAATTTGTATATAGTAGGAACCTTCAGTTCAAACTAATTTTATTGTATTAGGAACCTTCAGTTCAAGTCTAAATATGTTTTCTGCTATAACCCTCAGTTCTGCCGTTTGTCAATTGATTATAATAAAGCCTAAATTAAATTTATCTGTTTTAATTTACCTGATATTCTTTTAAATTTGAACTTATCGTACCATATCTTGACATTGGTCATACTCTAGTTTTGTTTCCTATTTTGTTTTTCTCTGAAAAAGTATATTTTTTTAAATATAGTCCAAACAGGTGGCGCCTTGTTCAAATTCAGATACATCATAAAAGTTCCAAAATAAACAACCTTAGAATTCACCCCTGAGAATAATAAATTTTCTCCACACATCAATGTTTCTGCAAAAGAAAAGTAAAATATATAAGTCTAAGCACAGAATTAAAACGCCGAAAATATTAGTAAATATTTATTAGATTTTACAAAAACTATTTCATAATTTTATAATAAGTTCTTCGTTTTCGTTTAATGAAGGTCCAATATTTATACCTGATAGAGGAATACCATCGTAAGTTTTGTCAAAGATTACTTGATGTGAAGTGAAGATACCTAAAAGTAGTAATTAATATATTCATCACATTTAATAATTTTTCTGTGTGATCGATGTGATCATATCCATAGATATCATTATCACATTTAATAACTTTTCTGTATTATCATATCCACAAACATGGGCGTCGTTACATGATTCTATAGGAAGGGGTAAAATTTTGAAAAAAATTTAGAATGTTTATTTGTTGAAAAACAAATAAAATGAAAAATAAAAGAGCATTGTCTTATGATGGATTCAATTATTCTGTGAAGCCATGGCTTACTTTCGATTTTTCCAGAAATAACAAAAAAATCGCAATTTATTTTTTATTTTTAAATGGAATTCCTTTTTTTTTGAATTATAAATTGCTGGGACATTTTTGTATAAGAAGGGTGTATTGACAATTTTTTGTCAGTAACATATTAAAAAATATATTATCCAATATGACGGTAATTTTAACAGCCGACAAAAAATTTTTAATACACGCTTCTTATCCAAAAATATCCCGGAATTCAAATTTTCAATAAAAAAGGGGTTTCGATATTAAAATTAAAAATAAATTGCGATTTTCAGTTACATCCGGAAAAATCGATAGTAAGCTATGACGTCACATACCAAATGAATCCAGTATATGACAGTATTTGTTCCAAGCTTTTAAACAAAAAAGAATTATTAAATGGTTTGCTAATAATAAAAATGCTTTGATACGCCACTGGTGTACTATAAGTTGGTCTCAATAGGAATTTTGACGCTGACAATGATTTTATAAAAATCATACATTCCCATATTTTTTTCCATAAACGAATTAATATTAACATGTTTGGATAAAATATTATGCAATATAGTGGCCATTCATTTTGACAGCTGACAGAAAATTTTCAATACACGTTACTTATCCAAAAATGTCCGGGAAATTCAAATTTTCAATAAAAAAAGAGACATTTAAAAATAAAAAAAAAATGAGATTTTCTGTCATTTCCGGAAAAACCGGAAGTAAGCAATGACATCACAGAATAATTGAATCCATCATAAGAAAGTATTTGTTCCAGTCTTTCAAACAAAACAAAATTATTCCAATATCGCCATGAATAGCGAAACAATGTCACTGTCCTATTTGACAACTGATGATACTTAAGTTGTCATAACAAGTCTCTAATAAATAAAATAAACCAACAAAAAGACAAAAACTAAAATTAAAAAAAACAAGTGACTTAAAAAACATTTCTAAAACACAAACAGAAGGTGTGATATAAAAGAAAAATATGAACAAGAAGATACAGCCAACCATACATAATAATAAAAAAAAAATAAAAATTTATAAAAACAAAAAAATATAAAAAAACTCACTCAAACACATCGACGAACACAAAAAAAAATACTAGGAAAACGCAAATTTTAAATTTCTTTTTTCTTTACCAAAAACATCGAAAACAGAAAACATTTTTTATTGTACACTCATCATACATAGCCCAGTCAGCCTATTTTCAATTATTTTTTGCTTTGTACGTGACAGCAGCACCAACAACTATTTTATGAACTAACGGACGATATTTGCCTATAATGATAATACTATTTTTAATAGAATTCGTAATTAAAAAATATATATGTTGATTTTAATAAAAGTATATGGATATGAAGGTTTTTTCTTCTTATTATATAGCTATTCATTTATTGCTTTGATTTAATTTCCATTTTGCTACTGGACATTTATATAATTAACAGTTTTTTTGCTAGTATAATTTCCAAAATAGCAACTCCGGTTGCTCATTTTATCTGTCCGATGGGTGGAGCCAAAAAAACATGGCGGATATACAGTGGCAATTTTTTCAAAGAGATAGGATTAAGCCCCATCAAATTGATGGGCAAATTTCAACATGTGGCAAAATTATTTTTAAATAAAGTTATTTAGTAGAGAACACATGCTTTTTAGGTTATGTCTGCAACACTTGTACTTACGTGGTAATACACAGTCATCTACTTTCACATTCTGTGTAATATTTTTTATTTTTAATGCTTCCATCCAAGCCACTAACAAATCAATTTATTTCAATTTTCCAAAGCAATTTGCAATACAAACTAAACGTTTTTCACCTGGTGGAAAATAGTGAAAGCTTTAACTTTCATCGTTATGTGAGCGGCTGGCTGTTGCATTCAGGGACCGAGCAAATCAGTCTGGCCCTTCGTTTAAGGTGATTACAGCACCCCTTTATAATTTTCGGACAAGGATATCTCAAACAGTAGTTTTTTTAAAAAATTAAAATTTTGGAAAAATATATTAGGCAATAATATCTGGAATATGCATATATTTTAAATTTTTAATTCCTTCCAGTTTCTGAGAAAAAAAATCAAAGGGCTTTAAATTTTGAAATATCGTAATGAAAATAAACGAATTCCTCAACAGCACTTATCTTATTATAATCCCCAAATTTAAGCTCTTAATATCTTGTAAATGATTTTTTAAAATTCCCCGAAATTAGTGGCTAAAACGCCTCGTTAAGTGCTGCTTTATGGTGTAACGCGTCTGTAACTATCATATCGTACACTATGAGTCATCATTCGTTTCTTGCAACGATTTACACTAGTTTACATCAGAAAATAGCACTTAACGAGGCGTTTCAGCCACTAATTTCGGCGAATTTTAAAAAATCATTAACAAGAAATTAAGAACTTAAATTTGGGGATTATATTAAGAATAGTGCTGTTGAGGAATGCATTTATTTTCATTATGATATTTCAAAATTTAAAGCCCTTTCATTTTTTTTTTCTCGGAAACTGAAAGGAATTAAAAATTTAAAATATATGCATATTCTAGATATTATTGCCTAATATATTTTTCCAAAATTTTAATTTTTTAAAAAAATTACTTTTTGAGATACATGCTTGTCCGAAAATTATAAGTGCCTCTTAAGATTGGTTTAATTTTTTACCACCAGACGTCGTTTTGTCATCGGGCACATCCCAATTGTTTTTACCAATTTTTTTAAGAAAAAAGTAAAATGTATAGGGACCGTGCGTGAAATATAGAGGCAGCACTACTGCCGAAGTTAGCCCTCTCTAGTGTTCAATTTTAGAAATAAATGGGGTAAACATTGCAAGTAAAAAATAAAGGATATTTTTTAACTATTAAATATAGTTAAATATAGATACCGGCCCGTGACAAACACTGGTTTACATGGTCAAAATGATATAAAATGTGAAAAATTATTAAAATCTGGACATGTATATACATTTTAAGCAAAAAGATTTAAATGGTTAAGTGACAATAAATTGTAAAGTTGTACCTCAAGCAAGTGTATCCAATGTCAAAATATCGGTATTTAGTAACACTGAATTTAAAAGTATTACAATAACATTTTAAAAATGTAAATTAATAAAAAATATTGAGAACAATATAATAATAATTCTTTATGTTAGTAGAAATGTCATTCTACATCTTAGACGTTTATGAGACACCCAATGCTATACATAATTATACAGATTGCTCACCCATCTATAAAAAAGATTACGGGTTGCAATGTGTACTGCTATATTGCCTTTCCTAGTGCCCACGAAATAGGGCATTCTAGCCCAAATGTGTTTTAAAATAAAATTTCAGCGTTTTATTTTTTAGAAAAAGAAAATAATTACTTAATTCAAGACACGTTATTATGTATTTTGAGAGATGAGTTTCCATGTAGTTAAATAATATTAAGGACCGATTCCACCGTTGTGTTAAACGAAGTTTAAAATGACATTTTTACATTAACAATGTCATTTTAATCTCCGTTTAACAAAACGGTGGAATCGGCCCTAAGAGATCTAAACAATTTTTATAAGGATGGATGTAAATAATTTTAGACCACTCTCATTTCAGAAATAACACTATATAAAACATATAATTGCAATATGTAATACAACTTTGTAAAGGTAATGTAAACAACTTTAATATGAGATATAAACAACTTTAATATGAGATATAAACAGCTTTTGTAAGAGTTGTAATTGAACATTTATCTATTATTCTGAGTAATGTTTAATAGTAATGTTACTAAAAATTTTACAGAAAATCACTACATTTTTAATATTTTAAAATTTGTTACAATCTCTTTTGACAGTAATTGCAATGTATTAATTATGATTTGTTTATTTTAGTGATAAATGAGAAATAGTTAACAAATTGTATGACATGTTTGTCAAATTGGACATTCTAATTTCACAGTAACATTCTACATTAGTTTTAATTAACAGAATAAACCAATTATTATCTGTAAAATTATATTTATATAAAATGTTCATTTAAATATGTAAAAATCTTAATGACAAAAAACACTAAGGGTGAGATTACAGAACGTCTGCAACTTTGCAGATCTGCAAATATGGCGGCAACTTTGAAAATCTGCAAATATGACTGACTTACACATGCGAGTATCAAGTTTTCGTATTCCAAATTTGGGTTTAGTGTTGTTAGGGGTAATAAACCACAATAAATATTGCGAATTTGCAGATATTTTTTGGAATACTTGCATTTGTAAGTTCGCCATATTTGTTGCAGACGTTCTGTAATCTCACTCTAAAGATTCTAATATCATAAACCGGTTCTGTAAATGATTTGTTTACAACTAAGTGCTCAAAATTGATACAAAATAGATACATATGGATAAGCAATCTATGTAATTATTTATATCATTGGGTGTTAGACACGAAGTGTGTTCTGTGGAAATTTATAAAATTTCTTTACTACCGAATGAAATCCAGGTTTCCAAAGTGATATGTTTGTAAATCCACGGATGCAACAAGTTTTTTCTATAATGATGTTACGAAATAATTCGACTTTATTTAATTAATAATTACTAAACAATAAATTCCGTATAAAACATTAATAAATCTCCCCCAAAAAGTGCACATTTTTGTCACCAGTTAGCGTTAAAGTCATGACGCACGGTCCCTATACGTATATTTGATACGCCAAAATTACAAAATATCGCTTTATTATCCGCAGCTTGCGCTAGTATCGTTTTTGCTTCCACTACCATGACTTCGCCCTGAGCGGACAGACCACATTCATAATTTAACATGCCTTAGCGTGCTAAAGGTTCTTTCGATTGACTCTCGTTGCTGGAAGAGCCTTAAATATTTTTGAAGCACTCTGTATGTCTGGATAAAATTAACAATGTTTGGACGTTATACCATTAATATAGAGCTGATTGTGTGCAGAAAGCTCTTTCATACTCCAGTTAGCTATCTACGTTTGGTATTCAGCTTCAAAACTGTCGATTCCAAATTTTTCCACTACTTTCATTTTCTTATCGGTAATGAAAAAAATATTAATTTTTATGTTTTTGGGATGCATAAGGCTTAAGAAAAAACTAACACTAGAGTCTTCAGAAAAGCGTGATGTAAGCGACGTAATAAGGGAATCCAGATATGCAATAAATATATTTAACCTATAATATTCTTTAACCATATTAGCTTAAATATTATTGCTATGAGATTTTGTAATGCATATCTTACGCGTTGTTGATTAAGTCGTTTTAGCCAAGGGGGAAACTGCCTTCGCTTGCCACCCCCAAACAACGCCCACGTCCACAGTTATAGTATCTAACTAGATAACAAAATAATCATTTGAAAAGTTCTGTCACTTCATAGATATGTCAAGATTAAAAAAAATTGATTGGTATTGATACCATATTTTTAATTATTCATACCTTCATCAGAAACCTTTAAGCGATTTATTACAATCTGTTCGATGAGTGCGTTCAGTCCCGTATTATCACCATCAATTGTTCTGAAAATTATTTAATTAGATCTTTACATTTAGTCGTATTTATTATAATGAAACTCACGACATTCTCAATGCATGTAAATCGTTGTCGTAAGTGAAGCTGACATATAAATAGTTGTTTTTATCAGTGTAGTTAAAGCTGTAATAATCGTCCACATAAAGTCTGCCAGACGCTTCATTATTCTAAAATAATAAACAGTTTTAATATCAAAAATACGATTAAAATGTGAAATTTCAAAATTAAAGCCTTTTATTTTTACTTACCTGATCTAGATTGACATAAACTGCAAAAGGATCATCTATGGCTGCTACAGCCGACTTCCTTGGAATATCTTTTCTGAAAATTATACTTCCAGCTCTATAAAACACTGGTGACTAAAAAAAAAAACATGAAATAGATATTTTTTTAATTACGATGTACAGAAATGAGAATAACTTACTGTAGTGATATTAACATCGACTTTTTTTTTTATTCCACCAACAGAAATTGCTGCAGAATCATCATCAATTCTATACCAATGGCTATTCTTATCAGGGAAGTAAACTTCAACTGAGCTGACGTTTGGTTGGGTAACTGCCACTCCCATTATGTCCGTACCTAAATGAAATAGCTATTTTTGATAAAAGTCTTAAGTAATTACAGGAACAAAATAATAATATATCATACAAGATGTTCAAACTTGGGGTAGGCATGTGTGAGTAATTATAAAGGTGGGAAAAGAAAGAAAACAGGTCCTTTATATCTAACAAAGAAATTTGTATTTGAACGACGACGGTTTCGAAGTTTGTTCACTTCATCATCAGGCACACCTAGTGGAGAAGAGAAAAGAAGGAATTGATGAGTTTTAAGTTGTTAGCCAAAAATTTAACCATTAAAATGAAAAAATGATGGAATATTGATTTGGTTTAAGCGAAATGAACAAAACTAATCTACTATTACTAATCTACTAATATTTATTAATTCACACTAACAAAAAATTATTAATCAAATTAATGTACCTATTAACTGAATGAAAATAAGTAAAAGGGAAAAGAAAAAGTGAAAAAATTTGTTAATGAATATTGAAAAATATATGTTGGAACAAACCACATCAACAACAAAATGGTATAAGATAAAAAAAATGACTATATAGTATAATAAAAAACACAAAAAAATCACCATTATATCTTATCCACTAGGGATAAAACTATTGGATTACAATCTTGAAGGAATAGAGGCGAACTGAGCATTTATTATTTTTTATAAAAGCATTGGTATTTGTCGGGGTTAAAAACATATTAAAATTAAAAACGTCTGTTGGAATTTGAATTACAGGCTTGAATTCAAGTTCCAACTGGATAGCTATTCACTAAGTCATGGGAGCGCTCCCATGGGAGTGCTCCCATATATTTTTCTCTCTTACTCTTAGGTGGGTATATCGTGCTTACTCACTTTTAGCCCAGGTACATGCGTAGTAAGGTCAAATTTTATACTATGGGAGGGAGAATTGCGGGCTTGCCAGATTAGGTCCGTATTTATCACAAAGCAAATTTGAATTACTAAGGGCTGATTTCACCGTTGAGTTAAACGGAGATTAAAATGACATTGTTAATGTAAAAATGTCATTTTAAACTTCGTTTAACACAACGGTGGATCGGTCCTTAAATAGTAGATCAAAGTTATTCTGTCGACTTGGCAACGTTGGCATGGGAGTATGGGAGCATGGGAGTGTGGGAGTGCTCCCATGAGTTAGAGAATAGGTATCCTGATACGACCCCAAAGAATAATTAAAGGCTAATTCAGAACCCGTAGCACCATCTAGCGCCGAGGGGGCGGAGTGCGATTGACGCAAGGTAGCGTTCTACGCTTGTGGCGGGCGCATTTCGCACCCCTGCGCAGCTGCATGGTCGGTCATATATGCCGGAAGTGAGAGCGGCGCGCGAAGACTCTCGCTTGAATGTAGCAAGGCACTTTTTTGGGGTGTTCGCTTCTAAACGGACGTGCGAAGAAGTCCATTTTTATTTTTCTTTATATCATGTGGAAACACAAAGATTATTTGTGCTCGGAGTGGTGGCACGTGGCAAAAGCCCAGTGGGTCATAGTTGACTAAGTGAACTTAATAAAATAAAGGCAGTTATTATAATAAAAGCATTTCAATGAACCAGCCCTAGTAAGAGTGCGAAGGTCTCATGAACTGTTGCAGACAGCAAAACCAACACCCGATGTGAGAAAAATGGCGGCCAGGAAAATGCAAAGGGCCCATTTTCCCTCAACGCCACATGTTAAAATAATGATACTAAAATATTAATGAGCCTACATTACAAAGTCAAAGAACTAAAAACTGCCAAAGTTTTTAATGTTCACAAAAGCAAAATGGATACTGACAATGAATATTAAAACGGTTTGAAGAATTCAAATTTAAAAAAAAAAATAATTTATAGAGTTGCTGCCCTCCAGTAGGGAGTGGTAAAACCAATAGTTAATGAATTTCAAAAAATTATGTTTATAATAAAATAAAATATGACTAAATAACGAAAATATGAAAAAATTTAAAAAATGTGGGGACATGAGACGAAAAATGTAATAGTTTTAGTTTAAAAATATTTACTATTACTATTTACTAATCTGGGAAGAAATTTTTAATTTTAGGAGGAGTTTCGTAATACTGTTACAACGAAATTGCAGATCTAAGTGTGATGTCTGTTGTTTGTTAATAATATTATATAGTTGTAAAGGTTAGATAGCACACACAACAAGTAGCACCTACTATAATGAATGTTACGATTTTGTGGAGCGTGCGCTATACGCCTCCTTGTCAGCTCTCTTTATCATGATATTCATGATGGCCGTTAAGTTGTATTGTACGTAAGTTGTATTGTGGGCAATAAAAGTAACTCTTAGGGTATTTGTGTGTTGTTATTTACCCCCAAGACATTACAGTGGCGACGAGGATAAAAAGAAAAAAAGAATCCAATTTTAAGGTATGAAATTAAGGGTGTTTTGCGAATATTTGAGGAAGTGAATCAAGGCGGTTCGTCTTCAAAGCCAAAATAATGCCGGAAACTACAGTAGTTTACAGATCGTCAATAGGTACTATTTCAGAATATAGACCAAATGACGACTTGCAAATGTGGGTGGAACGTCTTGAACAATATTTCGCTGCAAATTATATCGAAGCAAATAAAAAGTACCGGTTTTGCTAACCTTGATCGGGAAGACCTTAAGAGACCTATGTGACCCATCGTTATCTAAAACTACGATATACGACCAATTGTGTGAGATATTGAAAAGTCAATTCTCAAAGAGGATTTCTGTCTTTAAGGAGAGGATAGAATTCTATAATTTAAGACAATTTGATAGAGTCAATAAGGCAATGGTATGTTAGGATAAAGATTAAGGCAAGTTCCTGCAAATTAGGGACCAATTTGAACGACATCCTGAAGGACAGGTTCGTCTCTGGATTACAGAGCAAAAAGTATATTAGAAAAAGTGTGCGAAGAAGATCCTTTAAAGACAATAGACGTTATTTTAAAAGTAGCTTTAAATAAAGAAGCATCTTTAGTATCAGCGGCTCAGGGGCCACATCAAGTAAACAGGATGACCTGGCAGAAAGGGGCCAAGGCGGTTCAGGCAACGGCTACCGGAGCAAAGGAAATGGAAAAAACAAACCCACTGAAAAATGAAAATCGAAGAAATAAAAATTGCAAATGTTGTGGTAAGGGTAACCATAAGTCTAGAAGTTGTAAGTACCAAACTTATAAATGCAAAATATGTAAAAATATAAGGCATTTAATGTTTGTAGACAACAAACAAAATATGTAGAGGCTCAGGAGGAACCTCCAGAAGAGGAAGGTTTTAGTTTTATGCAAATCTTTTATGTTCATGAAGGTATTAAGAATGTGAGACCTTACAAAATTTGTTTATTTGGTAATAATAAACCTATTTATATGGAAATTGATTCAGGCGCAGAAATTTTGGTGCTGCCTGAAAATATATTTAGAGAGATTTTTAAAAATTGTACATTAAAGAACACGACAGTAAAACTGAGATGCTATGACGGTAGTATTTTAAAACCTGAATAGGAACTTTTTGCAAATGGTAAAAATAAGAATGAAAATTTTAAAAATTGTCGATTTTTAATAGTAAAAATGGTTCTGTACCTTTAATGGGCAGAGATCTGATTAAACTTTTAAATATTAAAATTGATTTCTCAGAAGATAAAAATAACTTAAATGTAGTTTAACAGGTAGGTACTTACTAAGGACCTAGAGGTATTATTAAACAATTTTAAGGGATTGTGTAAAGCTGTGTTAGGGTTATATCAATATGAGAAAATTGATTTAAAAGTTAAGACTGATGTAAAACCTATATTTTGTAAACCTAGACCAGTTCCTTTCTTATTTAACGAGAAAATAAATAAAGAATTGAATGAGTTGGAAAATCGAGGAGTGACCACGTTAATAGAAAATTCACAGTGAGGTACACCCTTGGTTCCAATCATGGAAGAGGGGGTGATATCAGATTATGTGCAGATTATAAATAAATTTTTAGAGGATTGTAAGCACCCATTACCTAGAATTGAGGAGTTATTCAATGAACTCCAAGGGGGAGAACATTTCAATAAGTTGGATTTTTCTGATGCATATAATCAGCTAGAGTCATCAGAGGATACAAAAATGTTGTAAGCATGGAGCACACATCGCGGTATATATAAGATAAATAGGTTGCCATATGGTACTAAGCCAGCATGCTCGATTTTTCAGTATAGTTGAAAAGGTTTTTCAAGGTGCAAGGGGAACTATAAACTTTTTAGATGATATTGTTATCACAGGTAAGGATGGGAAAGAACATTTATAGAATTTAGAGGCAGTTTTTGAAATATTATGTAGTTATATAAATAAGGTTAAAAATCGAAAAATGTAAGTTTTTTTAATCAAAAAATAAATATTTGGGACATTACATAGACAAGAGGAGCTGCATAAAGATTTCGGAAAAATCAAGGCAATTTTAGAGGTACCTGCGCCACAGGATCAAACACAAGTGAAGTCATTAATAGGGATGATAAATTACTATGGTAGATTTATTCCAAACCTTTCGACTTTGTTGGATTCAATGTAAAAATTATTAAAAAAAAGATGTAAAATTTATTTGGTCACAGAAATGTCAAGATGCTTTTAACGAAGCTAAAAGGGCCATTTCTTCAGATCAAACATTGACTTTTTTTGATCCCAAAAAGACTTTAGAATAAGTATGTGATGTTTCTAAGGCAGGAAGTAGGTGCAGTATTGTTGCATATATATGCAGATGGTACTAAGAGACCGATTAGTTTTGCATCTAGAACCTCTGTAATTGATAGGGAAGCACTTTCTATTTATTGGGGAGTAAAGAAGCACTATCAATATTTAATGGGAAATTGATTTATACTGTGTTCGGACCATAAACCCTTGTTAGCGTTATTTGGTGAGAACAAAGTAATACTGCAGATGGCTGCTGGCAGATTGCAGAGGTGGTTTTAATTACAGGTTCCAAAACATTAAAGCTTCAGAGAATGGAGGAGCAGACAGACTTTCTCGTTTTCCAATTAAATAGGATAGATATAGATTTTTATGGAAAATAATTATTTTAATTTTTTAGTAGAAAATAATATTCCTGTTAGGGCCGAAGATATAAAAAAAGAGATGCGTACAGATTCTGTTTTAAGTAAAGTTTCTCTGTAAACAAGAAAGGGACGGCCGAACGAAACTTAAGATATTTTTAAACCTTTTAAGAGTAGGCATTTAGAGATTAGTATTAAGAATGGTATTCAAATGTGAGGATATAGAGTTATAATTCCTAAAAAGTTTAGAACACAACTTCTCCAGGAAATACACAGAGCACATAATGGTATGATGAAGATGTTGACGAGACAATATTTTTGATGGTCGAGTTTAGATGGGGAACTTTCGTAAAAAAATGTGAGGCATGCTAAAAATCCTAATAACACACCTCAAATTAAATTTGATTAAAGTAAGCATGTGTTAGCGGATCCATTTAGATTTTTTAGTGCCTATTGAAGGGACATTTTTTCTGATTATTACGGATGCATAGTCAAAATGACCTGAAGTGTATGAAGTGGTGAAAACTGATTCCGAAAGTACAATAGAAAAATTACGCGATGGTTTTCCAGGCATGGGTTGCCTTATACTCTAATCTCAGAAAATGGACCACAATTAGTCAGTGCGGAATTTAAACATGTTTGCAATATGAATGCAATTAAACATGTGACATCACCTCCTTATCATCCAGCTAAAGAAAATAGTGTAAAAAGTTTTAAAAGCGCACTACAAAAAGTTTTAAAAGATTCGACACAAAATGTTTCTACCCTAATTAGTAAATATCTTTTTTGATATAGAAATATACCACATTGTGTAACAAGAAAGGTGAACACACGGCTCGATTTTCTAACTAATTCAATGACAGAAATTTACCTAACTTGAAGCCACTTTAAATCCTACACTTCCTTGAGAAAATAGGATTGGAAGGGTCGTTATAGGCATTAAGAGATTTCCATAGTGCATTGGCGACAAAAGGGGGCACAATAGATCTTTAAGGTCGCAGTGTATTAACACCCCATTTCCAACATAACATAACATACTTGTTTGGAGAAGTGAATCTGGGACACATTGTATTTTGTATAATTATCCTTACCTACTAAAACTTGTGTATCCATGTCTTCAATTTCCGGATACTGATAGTATAGCGGTCTAATAATGGGATCTCCTGTTCTAGTATGTTCGTAGAATAGAGTGTAAAAAACTGGAACGTGTCGGTATCTCAACCTCAGCGTATTTCTCAAGACCGTTTGAACTTCTTTCGGTAACAAATATGGTTCTCGCCTCTTCGATTCTCTACTAGAGTGTCCTCTGAAAAACGGCAACCAAACTGCTCCCTTTAAAAAACAAGTTACAACGATGTATGTTAAATCTGTACAAAGTTATTTCTAGTACATGCATTGAAATTAGAATAGACTAAAAGTACGAAACCGAGGTTAACAGATGGTGAAAAAAAGAATGGTAAAAGGTACTGGTAGTACTGTTGAAGTACTGGTAAAGCTGATAACAAGACGTTAGGAAATACACACAACCAAACTTATATGGAATCACTGTATATTTCTGGATAAACTTTTTGTAAGAAAAAAATTTGGTATCCAACTTTAAGATAAGGCGTTGTGTTTAAAGCAAACATTATAATAAAGAAGAAATGACTGCTGCGATTTACTATCTTGTCAATTTTGTGTTTAAAAGTAAAATCACGGTCCTCCGATAATTTTATTTCTGTCCAAAAAAAAACAACAAGATGCCTTACGTTGGACTAACAGATGTGCAGAGGGGAACAATTATTGTTCTCATTGAACAAGGAGTGTCCCAATGAGATATAGTAGAGGTAGTAGACGTAACCCAGGGTGTTGTATCGAAAACATGTGAAGGGTACTTGAAATTATAAACTCTCAAGAACAGGCTTAGACAAAGTCGTCAAAGAGTCAAAACTAAACAACATGACCGCTTTGTGTGTCAAATTTCTAGAAGAAATCCCAGTGTTTCTCATCCAGAGCTACAACGACAACTTCTGGAAGCTACAGGTGTAAACTTTTCAGTTGAAACCCCTTAGGAAAAGACTTCGCGCTCAGGGGTTGTACAGTGGGAGAGAGTTACGGATCCCGTCATTATCTAGGCAAAATAAAATTGACAGCTTAATTGGTGCCTTTAACATCAAAACTGTACATTTGAGAATTGGCAAAATAGTCTCTTTTCAAATGAGACCAGAATTGGCCTAAGATCAAATGACCATTGAACTCGGGTACTCAGAACTTCAGAAAGATGAGCGAGGCTCCACGCTGCCAGATTTGTCCCAAGATATCAAGTAGGAACCGTAATATTCTGGGGAGGTATTATGCTGATAGTAAAAACTTATGTTGTTTTTGTGCTAGAACCAAGAGAATGTCTTGAAACGAAAGATGTCACAGTTTTAGTCTGGCATGCATGTTCACCAGATCTAAATTTTATCAAACACTTGTGGGATCAGTATGGGATCGTTTAACTTTGGGGATCCCATGTTATAAATAATATAGCGGTTTGTAAAAGGGTATATAATAATATAATGAAATAGACAATTCCGTCATGACAGAAAATTATATATATATATGACATTTTTCTTTTTTAATAAATATTAATGCTTGGCAACCGAGGTCGTCAAGTAGATAGATAGGGTGCACTTAAATCCTGCCTCCCACTAAGCTGCGTTAATAGGTAATAGTGATATGTGTGGCATGGGTGTGACATGTATCAATATATTATGAGTTGGAGTTAGTATGTAGTGCTTCCAACGCGCTACAATCAGCTTATGGAGGGTAGAGAAAAGGAGGACAATCTTATATGGATCTTTATATTAAAAAGTGGCCACCAAAATGTATACAATTAAGATGGCGCTCGTGTAGCCAGGGGACAAAATCCAATGCTATATAGTCATATAGATTGCTCATTCATAATGAAATCAGACAGGAAGCAGTAAATTGAGACCACCGTGCCATTTTAATATAAGAATTATTTATTGTTTATAGTATTATTTTTCAATAAAATTTGACTATTGTCGTGTATTGTTAAAATTTATCTACGATCACAGAACACTTACTCTTCTACGATCAGTCACTTTTCACGGTGTAGTTTTTAGTTTTTTTATGGTTGAGCAATATTTATTACTATATACATCATTGGTGTCATTGTGTGATCTGAATTATCGACTGTCGACGTCCCCTGGGCACAGAAGCGCCATCTTAATTGTATACATTTTGAGGGACACTTTTTGTATACAGAGATTGTTCTCCATTCCTCTACCCTCCATAAATCAGCTCAAAAGAAGGGTTAGAGTTCGTTAAAACAATGCAGGAAATGTCGCACAGCCTATTGATGCAGCATTAGCAGAATGGGGAAACATACCCCAAGACAATGTTGATAATTTAATAGGAAGCATGCCAAGGCGAATAGAAGCTTGTATTAGGGCTAAAGGTAGCAACACGGATTGTTAAATTTACTAATTTTCTTATTTGTTTGCTTTTCGGCTATTAAAAATTTAAATCTCATTTCGTTTCAGAAACCAAAAAATACCATTGTGTTTATTTTGTCAACTAATTGATTATTTTTATTGCTATGTGGGTTATTTGTCATTAAAAGTCATTGATAAGGTTTAGGTGTTATTCATAAACAAAAAATGTTCATACATCTCAAAAATTATGAAAAATAATAGAGGATTCCATATAGGTTTGGTTGTGTGTACATAGAATAGAGTACTTATAATAATAAAACAGCAGAAGAAGTTAGGTTGTGGTCTTCTATATTATTTAGTTTAAAACAAGACTAATATTCAATGCAATAATTTATAACGCAAAAAAATAATTAGGAAATAGGTAAATATTGATATTATTATGATGATGTCTTTCTAGTCTATATCTTAACTTCTCTTTAATGGGAAAAACATTATTAGAGCCTCCAACAACTACAACAACTTACCTGATACCATCTTTGAAGCAATTCCATAGAGGGATCTTTGATAAATCCTCCAATATCGGCTCCGCAAAATACCATGCCCATCAGATTTGCTGTCATACATTCGGAATAACTGTTAGCGAAATGTTCCCACGAGGCGCTATTGTCCCCTGTCCACATGGCAGCGTAACGCTGCGAGCCAGCAAAATGAGAACGAGTCAGTATGAACGGTCGTTTCTTTCCTTCGTCCCTGTCCATAAGGCCTTTGTGGGTAGCTCTAGTCTAAAAAAATTGAAATACATTAAATGTAACTTCAGCGTATTTAGATGATCTTAAAACTTGCGATATTAATATCTAATACTCTGAATTGAAAAAAATCAAAGTAAGAGTACCATAGGAATACGTCATGGAACGAAACCAAATCAGTTAATTTAATCAACTAATACCAATTAGGGCGACAGTTTAAACAGATCTGATCAAAGCTAAGAGCTGTTACATAGTATCGGCCACTAAAGGCTTTCCAATACATTTTGCACAAGTGCATGTGAATACTACAGAGATTTAGCATTAGAGCGAGCAGAAAACTAATAATATCAGCATTGCAAGTTTATATGGCCCGACTGAAGCGTATAAACTAAAATCGCCGGTATTATTTGTTTTCTGTTCGCTTACAGATTAATTCTCAATCCACAGAAACTGCCCTGGTAGAACTGACTGACATAATCCAGGATAATCCCACAAACAAAGATATGTTCGTGTGTGCCTTCCTAGACATAAAAGGAGCATTTGACAACACGCCACATGAACCTATCAAAAGAGCAGTTGCATACAGAGGAGTACATAGCACCACCTCCAGAGATATGGTTCAGCTGTTATTTACAAGAACTGCAGAGACACAGGTAGGACAGGACACTATCTCCATCTGCACAGCTAAAAGATGTTCGCAAGGAGGAGTTATATCCCTACTAATGTGGATCCTAACCGTAGACGAACTTCTATGTAAATTGACTGACTTCGGCATACCGACGACTATTTTCTAGAGGCAATTCTGGAAATACCCTCTATGATATAGTCCAAAAAGGACTAGAACACATTAAAAGATGATGCCATGAGGCGAGAAGAAAACTCAATCTCAAACTCGTCAAATTAGACGGGATAGATATAGAATATAAAATAAAGTCAAATATCTAGGCCTAACCCTGGATAACAAACTTCTTTGGAACTTACATGAGATGAATTAGTAAATAAGGCCACAAAAGCCCTAGTGGCATGCAGAAACATTACGGATAAACGATGAGTATGAAACCCAAACATACTGCGATGGATGTACACTTCAATAGTGAGACCAATATACTGCAATAGTGAGACCAATAATCACTTATGGGGCTATAGCCAGGAGTAATAGAACTACTTTAGCTATTACGAGAGCTATTATCTCAAAAGTACAAAGACTAGCCTGTGTTTGCATTATCGGTGAAATGAGAAGATGACCTACTGCGCTATGGATGTGATCTTAAACCTCACCCCTGTACATTTAATGATATAGAATGTGGCAAAAAGAACACGATATAGAATTATAAGACACACAGAGATATGAGACGAAAGTCTATTAGCTTCAGGACCAAAGATACTTGAGATATGTCCCAAGAAAGAAATGAGAGAGAAGTACAGTTTTGTGAAAAACTCAAAACCACAGAGCTGGACTGAAAGAAAGAATGGAATCAAGAATCCATCACGCTTGCAACCTAAAGACATGCTGTTTAGTGGTATACGGATGGTTCCAAAACCATAAAAGGAACTGGAATAGGAGTGTATGGGCCTAGATATAGGCACTCTGAAAGTTTGGGAAAATACCCAAGCATCTTCTAGGCGAAAATTTACGCCATTGAGAAGTGTATCCAGTTTAACATCGTGAGAAACTATCGCAGATAACAGATTATCATCATGTTCGATAGCCAAGCCGTCATCAAAGTGCTAAGCTCTTACGTAATTAGCTCAAAAATGGTCTGGAGATGTCTAGAAAAATTAAATAAGCTAGGCGAGTAAAATATAGTTACCGTCACTTGGATCCCGGACATAACGGGGTACAGGGTAATGGGATTGCAGATAGTCTCGCATGGAAAAGGGACCAAACAAGCTTTGTGGGACCTAAGTCGTTCTGCAGTATGCTGATACTGCAGCTGTGCAACACAATACTAGAAAAGATTAAAAAAGAAGTGGGCAGTAGAAGAACCGATAATTGCACCAATCTTTTGGGGCTAAGACAGGCTAAGACACTTCTGGGTAAATATAACCAGAAGATATCGGAAGCCTGTATTTTCCTGAGCAAGACCAGGCTACGTATTGTAACAGGGATCCTTACTGGGCATTGTCAACTCAAAGGACACCTTAGTAAACTAAGAGTAGTAGAAGATAGTAAGTGCAGGAGGACGAATCCTCCATTCACATTCTGACTAAATATGTAGCCCTCCACAATCCAAGGGTACTCTACCCAGGAGAATATCAAATAGAAAAGGGGAAATTTACCTAACTTGCAGCAATTCCAAATCCTACACTTCCTTGAGAAGATTATATTAGAAGGGTCGTTATAGGCATAGAGACTTTTCTTTGCTGCATTAGCGACCGAAGGTGAAATAATTAGTATAGAGTTGGATAAATACCCAGTGGGTAGGTAAACAAATTATGGGTATTTACCGGTATTTTTCCAAAAACAACCTAAAATAATTTATTGTTTGTTGGTTATGTTATAACACATGGTAGTCGCGACAAGGATTTTATAAAGCACAAAACAAGTGATATTATTTGTTAATACTTATAGTCAATCTACAAAGCGGGTGACATTATTTGTTAATACTCATAGTCAATCTTCACTTTCATTATGGATAGAAGGAGAAAAGTAGTCTGGCAATTTTACAACAAGAAAAAAAGCAGTGGTGTGCAAATTTTGCAATAAACGGTTTGGATTTCCAAATGCGAATAAAATGAAAAAACACACATTGAAGTGTTTACACTGTCCCATAAATTAATTTTTTTTTGGCAAAGCTGTACTAATCAGTGGGGCTCCTTTATCAATTGTAGAACATCCACATCTTGAATAATAAAAATGACGCATTGCAAAGCGAAATAAGAGCAGATTTAAAAAATTCTAAAAATTTGCATTTGCAATGTAACGGATGGAGTAACCTTTGTAATGAGTCAATTATTAATTTTGTCTTCACCAAACTGGAACCACGGTTTGACGACTTTATAATTACCAAAACCAACAGACACGATGCCGAATATTTGCAGAATGTGTTAGAAAAGTATAGACCTGAAAAATTTCTGGTTATCATTGGTGACAATGCTGCAAATATAAGAGCAGCTTTTCGATTATTAACCGAAAAATTCGGTCATATTGTGCCATTAGGCTGTACTGCTCATCTACTGTATGTATTTTGCAATGACATATTGAGCTGCGAGTATATCAAAACATGTATAGCAAAAGTTACAGACGCTATAAAAACTATCAAAAACAGTTATATTCTTCAAGCTTTGTTTAGTAAAATAAGCAAAGAAAAAAAAACAATGTTTTCCTGAAACTAGCTGTAAAAAATCGATGGAGAAGTCAATTGTTCAGCCTACAGAGCCTTCACCTACATAAAAGTGTTCTACAAATACTAGCGATAAGTGATGAAGTATCTTTAACACTATCAAAACAACTAAAAACTTTATTACTTGACGACTCTATATTTTGGGTACAAGTTGACAAAATGATAAATATTTTGAGGCCAATTGTTGATCTTATAACAATCCAATAAACCTCTGATTCATGTCATTTATTCTCCACTGAAAAATTTAGAAAAAGTTCTATTTGAGTTGCTACCTCAGTCTCCACCAAAAATATGAGCGAAAGAAAAGATTCTCTAGTAGGAAAAATAAATTTAGTTGCAATCATATTGGATCCATCCTCCCAAGTTCATCAATTGACTGCAGAAGAAATAATGGATGCCATGGAATTTATAATTGAAACAGCTACAAAAATGGGATTAGGACTAAAAATCGGCGAAATTAAGGGTCTTCTAGCAGAATATAGAAATAAGGAAGGCCTATGGTCGAAAAGGTTTATCTGGGAAGGAATGGAAAAGATCAATCCTCTTACTTGGTGGAGATGTATCCGTGGCACAAATATACTAGACGTTGCAATTAGGATTGTGCACCTGTAACTTCTGTTGCTACTGAACGATCCTTTAGCACTTTCAGCTGGATCCATAGTAAAACGACAAATCGATTAACTACAAAAATAACTGTCAAAATTACTTACTTAGCATACAATTGGACGTTTCTAATGTCCAACCAGCCTGATTCAGACAATTCAGAAATTGTGAAATAAATGTTTTAATTGCAGGTCAAAACGATGAGTGATATAAACAGTGATGCCAGTTTATAAACAAATCACGATATTATGTTATTTTTTTATAGAAACAGAAATAGAAATCCTATTTAGGTTTAGGTTATATAAAAATGTTCCATAAGCCACCTGAATACCTTTCTTGAAACAGTATACCTGTATTATTTATGGGACCGTCTATACAGGGTGATTGATGAGAAATGACTGAAATAAGTAATATTTTATATACATATTCTATACCTAATAGAAAATAAACATTTTCTACCTATTAACGTGGTCAGATTTTGCATACGTAAACATAAAAGTTGGTACAATTCGTTTTTTTACATGGAAAAAATAGGATAAGCTATAATTTTTGGTGTATTGCATAAATGGCGCAATACGCAAGCTATTTTAGATTAACAAAACCCTGGATTATTAAGAAAAAAATTAATATTTTCCAAGCTACACAATCTGCAGGTGAAATATTACCCATTTTTCATTAATCCTCCTGTATATTATAACTTCTGCGTTATTTGTTGCTAACCGATAGGTACTGCCTAAAAAATTGGAGAATTCCAATTGATCATCCTTAAAGAGTTAAGTGTCACAGTAGTGAAGATTTTAACGTTCCCATGACCAGTTAGTTATGAATATTATGATCCATGTAGTTCGGGTTGGCTTTTCAAAAGCACAGGCCACAGAGCTATAGACCTGGCCGAGCCAAAAACGCTACTGTGTATTTTAAACGAGTTATAGAAGCTGACATGGAGCTACAAAATATATTTTAACAAACTAGCATGTGAATTGACGTCGGACTCACGCTATTTTTACATCACTTTTACCTAAGTGAGTCCCTGTTTGCTTCTCATGTTTAACTACCATAATTGATATTGTTGTTGTCAAGTTAATAGTTAATTTTAGTTCTAAATATACTGTTAATGTTTATATATCCCCTAAAACTACACTAACAGATTACAAAAACTTTTTTAAATCTTCTGAAACTTTAGATTTTTTTAATAATGCGTCATTCTTAGTTGTAGGTGACTTTAATATTACAGATTATGCATCCCACCTACTTAATTCTACCTTTTGTAATAGACATATCTCATTACTTAACAATTTCATGGAGTTCTTTGCTCTGACACAAAACAATTTTGTATAATAATGAATATCACAAAATTGTAGACTTAGTTTTATGTAATAAGTTTATTTTGGTTAAGAGATCTCTGTATCCATTAGTTGTGGAAGATAAGTATCAACCATAACTTGACATAACTTTTAATGCTCTTGGTATATCAGAGGTAAATAGATTTGAAAGCTCTTTTCAGCACTCTTATAATTTTAGGAAAGTAAATTTCCTAGAGATCTATGACATGTTATCAAAAGTTGACTGGCAATTTTTAGAAGTGTTTCAGGTCCCCAATGATGCTTGTTCCTATTTTTACGGAAAATTATACAACATATTTGACTCGTGCGTACCAAAATTTTCCATACCTTCTAAATCGAAATATCCGTCATGGATTCATGGTAATATTATTCAAAATATTCATAAAAAAGGACAAAATTGGCATAAATATAAATCTGATAATGATATTTTAGCTTTCGACGAATTTAAAAGATTAAGGACAATCATAAAAAATGATATTAGTGTGACCTATATACAATTTATTAAAAAAATCTGAAGATGAAATATCGCGACAAATTTTGGTCATTTATTTCAAATAAAACACACTTGACTCGTTTGCCCAGCAGAATGCGCTACAATGAAAATTACTTTGAGAATCCCACTAAAATTATTAATAGATTTGCTGACCTTTTTTGTAAGTCTTACACTGATTCTACTGAGCCAAATTTCGAGGTTAATCTATTAAATGTATCAAAATTTTAAGCATAAATTCCTTTACCGAAGATGAAGTTAGAAATACGTTAAAGTCAATAAAATCTAAAATGACTATGGAACCAGATAATATTCCATCCTTTGTTCTGAAAGACTGCGCTTCAATTCTCGCCCATCCCTTAAAAGTTATCTTAAATATTTGTTTCAAATTTTGTTCTATCCCATGTATCTGGAAATGCTCTAAGGTCTGCCCGATATTTAAAAAGGGTGACAAATCAGACATTACACAATACCGTCCAATTTCAATTATTAGTAATTTTTGTAAAGTGTTTGAGATGTTACTTCAAAACAAGATTTATCATCACGTTAGTAATATGATATAAACAGAATAACATGGATTCATGAAAGGCCGTTCCACCGTTACCAATCTCATAGCTGTAAAACAGTACATTGCAGAAAATATCGACAAGAGAATCCAGATGGATGTAATATACACCGACTTTTCCAAAGCGTTCGATCGGGTTGATCATGGTATCATGTTAAATAAACTTTCATGCTGTGGTTTTTCCCAATCACTGTTAAATTTATTTAAGTCATACTTTTCCGACAGAAAGCAATATGTTCAGATTAACGATTTCAAGTCGACTCAATATCTGACAATTTCCGGTGTTCCGCAAGGTTCTAATTTAGGTCATTTTTATTTAACATATTTATAAATGATATAAACAACAGTTTAGATACAGATATAAACTTTCTTCTATACGCCGATGATTTAAAGTTGTTCTGTCGTGTCGAAACGGTTGAGGACTGTGGAAGGCTTTCAGATAATCTGCGACGTATTGAGGAGTGGTGTTTCAATAACTACCTTCCTCTTAACTTAAGTGTTTTGTAATATCTTACACCTTGAATCAATTTCCTTTAACAACACGATTCGTCAAAGACCGGTTACCATCACAGATCTTGGAATTACATTTGATCCCACTTTATCAATGAACCGAAGACACTAAAATTATTGTATTATTCATTTGTCAGATCTAAACTTGAATATGCCTTAGTTGTGTGGAGCTCATTCTATCAGTTACATATTGATAGAATTAAAGCAGTCCAACGGAGTTTATTAAAACTTTTAAGTTTTAAACAAGATTTATCCCCCTATAGGTACACCTCATCATGATCTGAAACTTAGACATAAGTTTTGGAGTCTCGATACAAGACGCAAATATTATTCTGTGATATTGCTATTTAAGACAGTTAGTTCATTTAAAGTTGATTTTTCATATTTGATTCAGATTCTTAATTTTGTAGTTCCTCGAATAGCTTCCAGGAACACCTGTAGATTTTACTTGAATACACTCAGAACAAATGTTCTCTTAAAATCACCTATATACAGTATGTGTAATAATTACGAATCAGTAAGTTGCCAACTTAATTTGTTTTATAGTTCAATTCATATTATTAGGTGTTATTTCTATAATAATGTCTGAAATCTCTAGTTTTGCATATATTCATAAAATGCTAGAAAAATAATTATCTTAGCTTTTTTTCTCACCCGCTGTTCAATCAGTTAGTACATTATTTCTAAATTAATTGTATTTATATATTCTTGTACTCTTACTCTGTAATTGGGTCTTGTTGAGTAATGTAATAATAAATAAATAAATAAATAAAATAAATAAATAATTTCACTTTAAACTCTAAAAAAATAACAGTTTACCTGTGTCAAACCGTATATGTTGTGAATATCGCCATGTGGTATTTTTCCTGCATGCAGTACATCAAATGGCATAGTTTTCTCAGTATTGTCATCGAAAACTGCAGGTTCATTCATATCGTTCCAAATTCCTGCTAGCGCTGGAGTACTGCCATTAAACTTTTTGTAAGAATACCAACTGGCATAATAATCTGAAGCTTTGGGAATCATAAAATCGATCCAGCTGGATAGGTCTGGCCAACAATTGGCTAAAACAAATTACTCAATAATAATTCATGCTTAATAATATTCTTATTACTTCATAATCATCCTTTGAAATTTAAAACGTTATATGGAAAGAAACAAAAAATACTATCACTGTTTCATTATTTTTGGGCCAAAATATCAAACATGATAATGATATTAATATAACAGTATTACCTTCATAGTTACTGCCATTCTTCCATTTGGTGAAGTATTTTTCTTTAGCTCCAATATATACATCATATGAATCTTCAACTTTGATATGCGGATCAGATATAGAGACGGCCACCCTTCCTGTAGCAGAAATATTGTTCAACATTTCCACGGGATCTGTGTAGGTGGTACTGTTCCAATGGAACCATCTGTAACCATCTGTATGATCGCCGTCAAGATAGATGGCGTCCCATGGGAAGTTATTCTTGTCTAAAAGTGCTACCACTTCTTTTACGTCATCTTGTGATTTATATGAGAATCTGCACTGATGATAACCTAAAGCCCAAATCTAAAAATATAAGGAAAATAACTTTTTGTATTACCAGTACATAAAAATATTTAAAATAATAGTTATTATTGATTCTAAAAAGAGGTTAATGGTCGAAAGACTTATACTATTAATTGTGAATGTTTTTTTTGGAATATCTGGTTTTCTATGTATAAAAGGAAATTTGCATTTATTTGAAAAGTTGTACAGCCAACATTTTTCTATAAATTTTGTTTTAAACAATATTTTATACATTCAGCTGTTTATCAGACTTATCATCAGCAGGATAACCAACAACACCACACCAAACATTTATATCTCATAAAAACAGTTCCATTACAAATTTCCAGTCTTGCTAGTTTTCTCGTCCTACCAATTTAGAAATAGGAGGAAGAAAAGCATTGTTATCTGCAGACATTTTTAAAATTTAAAACCTTTCTATTTTGCGTCCTAACTAGGCATGGTCTGGGCCCATAACCTGTAGTGATTATACAATGCCTTGAGAAGAAAATGTAAAAGCTGTACGACAATACTTTTATTTTTTGAAAGACATCAAAACATGAGATAACAAACTTATGACAAAAACAACTAGTAAATAGATAGGAATTTAAAATTAATATTCCAACAACAATATAGAAAAGTTCTTAATATTGTATGACTATATTCCTCAACATATCTGTCTAGGTGGAATTCTTTTCATGGTAGATTTTGATGTACAACTTCCCAAATCTGATATTTCATGTAGTGAATCGACCTTTATTATGTTTAAATATTCAATTGTTTCATGTGTTATTGATTAATATGACACTGTCAATTTAATTGAATAAAGCCTTATATTTTCGGGTTAAACCTCAATTCCACTACGATTTATTCAACTAAATTAAAATATGGAAAGGTATCTGCATCCTGAGAGGTTTGATATCGATCCGGTATTAAACACTGACACCGCCACAACTTTTCAATGGATACACTGGAAGACAACTTTCAAAAATTTCCTTAAAGCCTCCTCAATTGACTCCACTGGGGAAAACCAGCAACCTGAGCCTCTGTCAAATGCAACTAAGTATCAACTCCTGGTAAATCACCTTTCTGCAAGTGTTTTTAATCATATGAAAGACGCCGAGACATATGATTCAGCTATTTCGAGACTAGACTCTATTTTCATAAAACTGAAGAATGAAACGCATGCACGCCATCAACTGGCTAAGCGTAAACAGCAGCCTGGTGAAACGATTAACCAGTTCATACAATCATCAAAACATCTGGACAAGGAATGTGGGTTCAAAGCAGTATCTGAAGAACAAAATGAACAAGACTGTATAAGAGAAGCATTTATTGCTGGTTTGACATCGAGCTCCATACGAGAGAGGCTTCTACACAGTAGTTCCCTTTAAATTGATAAAGCGCACCAACAAGCCAGAGTGCCAGAGTTTGCAAGAGTTCACAACAGCGCCTTCGCAAGTGAATCAAACGCCTTTCCTTCGAACAATTTAAATGCATTGCCATCTACATCGAAAGATTCTTGCTACTTCTGCGATAACAAACTACACGTTCGATAAGTACATGTAGCTTCATAGAAAACCGCCTCTCAACAAGAAGTAACGATTACTACATCATTTTTAAAATCAAAGGTTGTTGGAATTTGTAGAGTTAATATAAAATTATTGCAAAACAGTTACCAAGTCTTTTGTGGGTACTAAATGATTTATGTGCAGATGTTATCATAGGGCATAATATTCTTAACAATCATTTGCAAGTACAACTAGACTTCGGAGGACCAGGCCGACTATCTGACTCCTGATTGCAAACCAATTGCCTTCAAGACTCAAAGACACTCTCCAGAGGATTTAACTTTTATTGAAGCAGAAGTTTCACAATTACTTAAAGACGAAATAATCGAGGAAAGTTCGTCACCGTGGCGAGCTCAAGTATTAGTTACTTCCAACGAAAGTCATAAAAAATGTATGTGTATCGACTATTCCCAAACTATAAATTGCTTCACGTTATTAGATGCATTCACACTACCTGCTATGGAAGATGTGGTTGCAGAGGTAACTAAGTATAGAGTATTTAGCAAGATAGACCTTAAAAGTGAATATCATCAAATCCCCGTAGTTGAGAACGATAAACTTTATACTGCATTCGAAGCATCTGGGAATCTTTACCAATTTAGATGAATTCCATTTGGAGTAATCAACGGCGTTGCTTGTTTCCAGCGTTCTATTCGCTCAATTATTCAGAAAGAACGACTCAAAGGTGTTGTAGCATATTTGGATGACATCACCATATGTGAAAGAGATGAAGAGGATCACGAAAGAAAGTTATCTGCCCTCTTCTATGTTGCCAATAAATACAATCTTATTCTTAATAAAGCAAAGAGTGTTTTTTGTGTAAAATAAATACATTTACTGGGCACAATTAGACCCGATCCTGACCGCTTGAAACCTTTTCTAGAACCTACCGTTACCAAAAGACTCAAGTACTCTCAAAAGAGCTATTGGTATGTTTGCTCACTATATGAAATATACAGACACAAAAATTTCCACTTGTAGAATCAGCTATAGCATCATTTAATAATCTGAAACAAGATATTGCTAGGGCTGCAGTCAACTCGATTGATCCTAACATTCTATTATCCGTTGAAACAGATGCCTCGGAATATACCATAGCAGCGTCTTTATCACAAGATAGACGTCCGGTAGCATTTTTCGCAAGGACTGTATCTGCGTCTGAAAAAGGTCATTCCATGATAGAAAAGGAAGCATACGCGATAGTTGAGTCTGTAAGTAGATGAAGGCATTTTCTGATTTCTAAGACCTATAAAGTGCGTTCTAAAAATATGCCGTACTATATAGACGATATTAGGGAAATTACTTCATCTGTGTCAAAAACTCAAACCAAAATTTGCTACTACTGCGGGAACCCTTATAAAAGTAACATCTCCTTTCGAAAGATTATCAATAGATTTTAATGATCCTATACCAACGAACACAAATAATCGTTATCTATTTAGTATAGTAGATGAATTTTCAAGATTTCCCTTTGCATACCCTTGCCCAGGTTTAAGCTCAAAAACAATTATGAACTGTTTGGTTAATCTTTTCTTTTTTTGATTTACCCAGCTACTGTGACCGAGGGGCCTCTTTCTTATCAAGCGAAGTCCAGCAATTTTTAAGGGAGAGAGGGGTGGCTACGAGCTTAATCATATAATCCAAAAAGCAACGGACAAACAGAAAGATACAATGGAATCATATTCAAGTCTGTTCAATTGGCCTTAAGAACGAGGAATTGGGACTTGAAATTCTGGAAACTGGTACTGAAGCAAGCTTAACATTCTATCAGGTCGCTATTATGCACGGCAACAAATGAGACCCCGCATGAAAGGTTGTTTGCACATCCCAGAAGATCTGCGAATGGCCAGTCAGTATCATGATGGCTTCAACCTGGCCCCATATTAGTGAAGCGTCTCGTCCGACAAAGAAAATATGACCCCATAGTGGATGAGGCTGAACTCATTCAACCCAATCCGTTTTATTCACTGGTTCGTCTACAAAAGGGCAGAGAAGTTACCTTTTTAAACAAACATCTAGCCTCAACCCAACAAGAAGAGATAAATGTAGATAGCGGTATAGGTAGTAGTGAAGGTAATAGTGAAGATAGTAATCTAGATTTGGAACCTCAACTTCAAGTTGACAACCCTTTAAGTGAAATGCCAACTATCCCGGAATCATCCAACCGTCTTTGTGTAACTTGAAACAGTCTGGAGACCAAAGCCAAGGATTACGTCGATCTGAAAGAATCCGTTATAGATCCAAGTACCTAGGAGATTATTTTTAACATGGAAAGAATGTGGTAAATCGACCTTAATTTTATTTAAATGTTATTGGCACTGTCAAATTAGTTGAATAAAGGCTTATATTTTCGGCGTAAACCTCCAATTCCACTACATTTCTTATCATTGATTGGATAAGTAATGTTCTTTTCCTGCAACCATTTTACCATTTTACCTTTTGTTCCACTATATCATGGAATTTGTTTCACGTACCGCGAATGATAACATTATCGATTATAATCAAAGAAGGATGTTCCAGACTGGGTATAAATTTCGTCCTAAACTTTTTTTTTTAATTTTCTGTGTTCATATTATTATGTTAATACCCGCCTTTTTGTTTGATTTCTAAATATGAGGTCTGTATTTTTTATAAACCTTTCTTCATTGCCACCATGAAAAATTATGTATCGAATTCCATCTCCTGTTTTTTTACTTGTAGTAGCCATCGTTCTATCTTGCTAACTTTTTCTGTCACTTCTTTTGCTATATACTCACGTCACATTCATAAATACAGGCTTAAAGTTACCCCGCGTTATCTTTTTGTTATAATTTTTCAAAAACGACATTTTTTTTTAACTGAATCGATGTTCGTTCCAATAAAAACTGTCTGTTATTACTTCTTTTAAAGCGAAAGCCAATTTTTCGACTTTATGTATTAATTGACCGAACTTTTCACTTGAGATATTTCTTCCGAAAATCGTTTATGGTGCGTACCTTCGTAAATCCTATATATAACTTGCCTCAACTTACTTAATAAAGAATTGACTTTTGTTTTACTTTGGCTTACTTTTTAAGACCTTATTTTCACATACTCTGCAGCCACTTGATTGTACTTCTTTCCAAGAGCCTCACAAATATATCTGTGTCTCTTGAAATAGGAAACTACGTTGAGGAATCGTTTCTGATTAATTACTAATTCACCATTTTGTTGAATACTTATAAAAACTTTTGAAGCATCAAAATATAGAAATTTTTAACAAATTGAATTGAATTCAAAACTAATTTGATAACTACCACTTTACAGAGTAACATAATGTAAGTAATCTACAACGTTCCCAAATCTAGTAACTATTTGTTCCATTCATTTTACATTTAAACAATAAAGGCAGCGAATGGATATTTTCTTTTTAATCATTCACAAGATATTGAACACTCTGAAAAGAGTACCCATTTATATAGTTTTTTGACAGTTTGTATAAATAAATCTTGCCATACCTACAATGTCTCGGTAATAAGCTCCTTAAACTAACTGAGTACTCACCTGTGGCAAATGTGCTCGACCAGTTAAAGTGGTAAACTGTCTAACAATATCTTTAGGTGTAGGTCCTAAGAGAACGAACAAATCAAAAGCAGCTCTTTCTACCATAAAATATGCTGATGGTTGTTCAGTATCTTCAGAATTGACATCAATCCACTGCTCTGCAGCATTGTGAAGGAAAATTGCAGATGTTTTTTCTTTACTAAAAAATACAAACAGTATAAGTTTGCAGAAAAACTAATGCAAACACATTAATATTAAATTACTTTACAATAAGGTTTTTAATAAATACAATAAAAAAAATCATACGAATGTCCAAAAATGACAGGTCGAGCCCCATATAACGCCATTGGTGAATTGGCTTCGTAAGCCCATGAATCCGAATTCCTCAAACGGAAAGGATCCATTGAATTGTCGCTACCATTATTTGTTTTGCCCAAAGACATTTTGTACGCATGGTCAAGTAAACCATAAAGCCTTGTCGATCCTGGAAAGTCGACTTTAAATGTGAATGCTTCACTGGCATCAGACTACAAAATAGAGGTACATAAAAAAAATTAATAACTTAGTTTATTGATTTGATACAATTTTTACCAATTACAAACTGTGAAAACAATAATAATTGTTCCAACTAGGGTTCTGTATCAGATATAAAAAACAAGCCATTTGCGAGGCTAAATAATAACGTTTATGCCACTGATAAAGGATAGTACTGATTTCTGAGGCATATTTATAGTAGAACAAAATATTGGAGAAGGTGAGTTTTATATGTGTGATTAATAATGAAAATTCAGACGAAAAGCAACATTGTCGGCACGCGGCGTATCAAATATCATTATTTATTGGTTAATAAAATGTATTAAACTTTTTTGTTAAAATTTTTATTTAAACAAAAAAGGTACGTTAAATATACATAGCCTAATAATATTAATAGGATTATTTACTTTGGCAATTGATTCTAATACGACAAGTATTAGAAATTAAAAATTTAAAAAAACCGACTTCAAAAACGTGCAGATGCCGTCACCACATCTTAACCAAATATATGTGGGACGACCCCTGAGGCATCCCCTTACTAATAAAAAAAGAATCATTTAATTCGGACAAGGTGGTAAAGCATTATCGCTAAACATACATAAAAAATTAAGAGTTTGAGGATTTTCTCACGGGCCCAATTATTATATTTGAACCTTTTAACCAAATTTATATGGGACCTCCCCTTTCTAACAAAAAAAAAATTATTGAAATCGGACACCGTATTGAAGAATTATCGCTGAACATACATAAAAAAAATCGCGACGAATTGATAACCTCCTCCTTTTTTAAAGTCGGTTAAAAAATAACCTCACTTTTAAAACCTATTTTTTACTTTCAATGAAACAAAAAATATAAACTTGTAGGTAAAGGTTAAATCTGTGTTTCGTAGTCACTTTTCCAATATTTGATATAGTTTATTTATATAAAAATATTGACAAAAATTATTATATAAAAATAAAAACAAAATTTTGCGAATTTTCAAAAAAAAAAACCGTAGAACGGGATTAATTAAGACAAATTTGAAACATTTTTTGCTGGTACTTCAAACGTGTACTTATTATCCATCTTGTTTATATATATTTGGAAAGGTAGTAGGTCTTATCTGTCTTATGTTAAACAATGAGCCATTACAGAGGGGAGCTAAATTTTTTTCTTTTATTGGTATCTAATAGCAAATTGCGTTGGGACTCAAATAAAATTGTTTATTGGGGCTTCTTGGGATGCCGAAAATAAATATTATTCTGTAGTTGTAACCAAACGTTTGCAAATAATAATATTCTTTGGAAAATATACCACAAATTTAGGTATGTTTTGACATAATGCATAAGATCAATATTAAAGCTGTAAAATTTCATTCTTTCTGTTTCCGTTAATATTGGTGGTGTTAAGATCTTCACTACTATATCTCCACTTATATGATCAGTGTCCTGTACAAAAGAAGTATTAAACTTTCCGCTGGATTTATTTTAAAAATGCCAAATGTAGTGTTGAATCAAGAACTTGCTTAACTTGGCTGATAAAGTGCTTTATACTTTTCTTTACTTCATGCTCAACCACTATCTAGCTGCCTTCTTTTAACTCAGATAAAATACATGCCTTCCCGTCGCTGGAAATTTCAGCATTTTTAGAATGTTGTAAGTTTTTTTATGTTTATTAAAGGCATAATATGACTATTATCGGAAAAACTTCCAGACTCTTTATTTTCAGGCCCATTTTTTCATCCCTCATAAACTATTATACCCTTTTTTAGTGGTAATGAAGGCATTTTTATTATGTATTAACAGTAACTCTTCACTTTCATTAGACAAAGTTGTTACGTAAGCCTGCTATGTTAAAAGGATTCGAAATTGCCCCTAACAGAGAATTCGCTGAAATACCTCAAGGGTTAGGGGTAAATAAAAAACATTTGATTGACAGAGTGTAAAGTGGGCTTTATTTTTCTTAAAATGTTAACCTCTAATTCAAATTGACTTGTCAAAGTTGGAAGATATGAAAAACATATAATGTTTTATAATATAATATCTAAAATATTACTGTATACAGGAAACAAGATATTAGAGGTAGTACTCTTAAAATGTTTCCTATAATAAAGACCCTCTAGATGAATGGTTACTCCGGTTCACGTCAAGTACTTGTCGCTTACAAAATCCGGCAAGCCCCAGGTATGCAAATGTATCTATATAAATATATAATGAAATAAACCCCGTAAAACCCTTAAAACCTACTTATGACTAATGACTACACTTTCATGTAAAGTATTTACACCCGCTACATTGGTAGGGAATGCCTCCAGACCAGTTGAGGTTAAGTCGAAGCGCTAAATGGGGCTCAAATAACAAAAACTACTAAACAGAGACCGTTTTACTTGGGGATCCGGGGTTTTGCTGTTGAAATAACCAACACTGGGTGTTCAAATATTCTGCGACAGGTTATGAGGGTAGGTAGGCAGCAAACGGTAGCCTGGGCGACTTCTTTGCTAGCGGCGAAGCGGAAACAGGTGATGGCCTGCTTATTTAATGCCGCAAAAGCCGGGAAACTTTCACGCAGATTGTATCACTTATTGTAGGTCTTCGAGAATAAAACGAAGCAAAGAAGGAACGAACGAACAAAGGAAGGAAGGAGGTCTGAAAAACATTGACGAGTGTAACTATGGGTGCGTTTTAATCATCCGCTTCTGCTTCGGAATTGTCTTAATAGTCTTAAGATTTGGCGATAAATACGATTTCAGTGATAGTTCTGCAGAATCATTAAATTACAATATTTTAAAATTCAAAAGTCATGTAAGTGATAGTTCAATAAGATAGCGTGTATGACATGTCTCAATCGTCTTTTGTTTACCCGGAATTTCGCCTCAACTTTAATTTTGTTTATGGCTGCCATATTGATTTTTTTTATTTTTGGAAAGCACGAAATATTTTCAGTCTTGTGATATCTCACAAGTTTTGGAGGGAGGGTAGCCATATCTGAGTAGTAGGGATTAAGTGTAAGGGGTTAAAGAAAAGGTCCTTTATTTCTCACAAGTCAATTTAATTGGCGACCGGTTTCGAAGCTGTCACTTCATCATCAGGCACACCTAAATGGAATGTCAAGGAGTCAGTTGTAATAAAAAACAATTATAAAAGCATGAACGGACTTTAACATATACAAAATAACAAAAAAAACACAAAAGAAAGTTAAACAATAACCTTGACTCACCTTGACTATTTCCATAAAGGAAGCGCTACATAAAGTTTAACAAAACGAGTTAAAAAAGTCATATGTAATACAATAGTATTTTTTTAAAAAATATTTTAGGTTAGGTTAAACCGCGAGATGTCTGTTTGAATAAATTAATTAAAACACATGTAGGACAATTATTAACTAAACAACACAAAATAGTTTTAACAAGCACAAACAGTTTAAAAATTTTTAAGGATATAACGTCAATTAATGAAAGTAAAAAGTAAAAAAGTAAAAAGTAAAAATTATCAGACTCTCAAGACATCTATCTAGATTTTTAACGAATCAATGTAGTAAACTGTAAATTTTAAATTTAGCGGATAAATAGTGTACTAACAAAGGTGGTATTTACTGAAAGTGAGTATAGGTGGCGGTGACAAAATTTATTGAAAGTAAAAATATTAAACTGCGAAATGAGAAAGCAAAAAATACTAACAAGAAAATTAGAACACTGAACAAGAAAATATGAAAATTCATATGTAAAAGGGAAATTTGAAGCAGATAATCAAAAGAAAAATTACTGTTACAGGAAACGGAAACTAAGTTGACAAGTACGAATGTCAAAAAAGAAAAGTCAAATTTTGGCGTATGACAACCACGTGGGAGAATTTGAATAAACTAATAAAGAAAACATTAAGATGCGCATCTTATTAAAGTGCCCACTCGCATCTTATTAAAGTGCCCACTCGCATCTTATTAAATGTTTTCTTTATTAGCTTATTCAAATTCTCCCACGTGGTTGTCATACGCCAAAATTTGACTTTTTTTTTGACATTCGTACTTGTCAACTTAGTTTCCGTTTCCTGTAACAGTAATTTTTCTTTTGATTATCTGCTTCAAATTTCCCTTTTACATATAAATTTTCATATTTTCTTGTTCAGTGTTCTAATTTTCTTGTTAGTATTTTTTGCTTTCTCATTTCCCAGTTTAATATTTTTACTTTCAATAAATTTTGTCACCGCCACCTATACTCACTTTAAGTAAATAACACCTTTGTTAGTACACTATTTATCCGCTAAATTTAAAATTTACAGTTTACTACATTGATTAGTTAAAAATCTAGATAGATGTCTTGAGAGTCTGATAATTTTTACTTTTTACGTTCATTAATTGACGTTATATCCTTAAAAATTTTTAAACTGTTTGTGCTTGTAAAAACTATTTTGTGTTGTTTAGTTAATAATTGTCTTACATGTGTTTTAATTAATTTATTCAAACAGATATCTCGCGGTTTAACCTAACCTAAAATATTTTTTAAAAAAATACTATTGTATTACATATGACTTTTTTAACTCGTTTTGTTAAACTTTATGTAGCGCTTCCTTTATGGAAATAGTCAAGGTGACTCAAGGTTATTGTTTAACTTTCTTTTGTGTTTTCTCTGTTATTTTGTATATGTTAAAGTCCGTTCATGCTTTTATAATTGTTTTTTATTACAACTGACTCCTTGACGTTCCATTAAGGTGTGACTGATGATGAAGTGACAGCTTCGAAACTGGTCGCCAATTAAATTGACTTGTGAGAAATAAAGGACCTTTTCTTTAACCCCTTACACTTAATTGTCTCACAAGTGCCTGAAAGATTTCTAAGGAAATCAGAAAACTCATTGTTAATTTAATTAACACTGAAACCTTTAAACAACCTACACACATATTTGCAAAATGACGTCCCTTTGAATCGAAATATTTTTGGCAATAAGTGACTGTTTTTCGTACAACCCTAGCAAGTGTATTTTTGTTAATGTTTCTATATGTGTCGAAAACTCTTTGTCTTAAGATTTCTATGGTCGCGGTAGGATCAAATTCATAGAATCAAATTCATAGACCTCATTCTTTGTGTGACCTTAGAGGTATAAAGGCAAAAGGTCAGGAGATCTGGAGTCATATGGCGCGTGATATCCATGTGAAACCATTCAACATTATTCACCGGTATGGTACGATGATTGTAAGTTAACAGGGATGAATCACCTTCTCCAATATTTTGTTCGATTAAAATATTAAATCACGTTAAAAATTTTAATTAATTTGGTCAAAATTTGTCAAAATAGCGATACGATACTAGAATGGTTAAGTTTCAGGAGATAAAGATTTAAATACTAAAAACATATTAGGGTCATTGTGGGAACAGTGAATCAGGTGGTTACAGTGAGTCGGCATCTATTTTTAAAAACGAATAGACTTGTTGATCTTTTTAATTGCTGATGTTTAATACTCTTTTTCTTCTTTCAGTACTCAGTAAACAGGCAAACATTGCACACGTGTTTTTGACGAAAACAGGATTTAGGTGGCGAAAATTTTATTTCAAAGTAAGTTTTTCGTTAGTTTCAAATATATATTATTTATTATATTGCTGTGGTAAAGTAGTATTAGTAAGCTACATAACTGTATAATTTTTCATCTTAAAGGTGTTAGGGAAAATACCTAAAAATTAATTTTTTTTACATCGAGTCAAAGGGGTACACAGTTAACCAAAGGTCTTAAGTAAACAGTGAATCACGATTCACTGTGTACCTACTACTGTTTTTAATTTTTAAACTAACAATGCTGTTTGTTGTTTCAGTATGCCTCGTAAACAGCTGCTGAAAAGAAAAATTGGCAGACACTGTAAAGAAGATATGGAACGAGCGCTAAATCTTATTATAAATGGTACTAGTATTCGTCAAGTATCCAGAGACACCGGATAAGCTTTTGCGACAATCCGTCGGTACTATGAGAAATTAAAACTTGCCAACTATTCTATTGAGAGTATCCGGCTAGTGCCTCACTACAATATTAATAAAAATTTTACTGATGAACAAGAAACAGCCTTAAAGGGATATTTCCAACACTATGCCTTACTGTTTTATGGACTGTCGACAGCTGAATGCCGACGTGTAGCATATGAGATGGCTAAAATCAATAATGTAAACATGCCAAATTAATGGCAAACAAATAAATTGGCAGGGATAGATTGGCTTAAATCTTTTTGTAAGAGACATCAGGATCTATCTCTACGAAAGCCAGAACCATGTAGTCTGGCAAGATCTGCAGCTTTCAACAAGATTAATGTTTTTCGACAATTTAGAAAAAGTTATGAAGAAATTTTTAATCTGGATAAAACTTCTACTACCACGGTGTAAAGACCTCAAAAAGTTTTAGGACCAAAAGGTCGTAAAAGTTTGGAGAAAGTAACGAGTGGGGAAAAGGAATGCTCGTTACTACCTGCCGCATTGTTAGTACTGTCGGCCAAGCTATGCCGCCCGTAATGGTGTTTTCTCGTAAAAATTATAAATTACACATGATCAAAAGAACCCCTTTAAGAACACTTGGATTAGTCGCACAAACAAGGTGAGTGAATAGTGAACTATTTGTTGATGTCATGGACCACTTTATTAAACAATCACACAGTACGCCGGAAAATCCTAGTATTTTAATCATGGACAACCACGAGTCGCACCTATCGTTAGAGGCGTTGAATCGAGCCAAGTCTTCAGGAGTGAATGTGGTAACACTATATTCTCATACATCAAACAAGCTCCAGCCACTAGACGTTGGAGTATTCGTTCCCTTCAAATCATTCTACAATAGTGCCATTGACTCGTGGTTGCTGCATCATCCGGGACAACCAATTAGCATTTTTGAAGTAGGAAAAATAGTGAGAACTGTTTTTTTAAAAGCCATGACACCAATTAATATTATAAACGCTTTCAAAAAACCGGAATCTTCCCGTTTGACCGAGATATCTTTACGAAACAAGACTATTTACCAAGTTCAGTGACTGACCGTCCTTGTGGTGAATCTGACAAAAGGCATAATTCTCCATCTGATATTTTAGTCTCTTGTAATTCCGATATTAATAATCTTGACAATAAACAACCTGATAATGAAGAAAATTTTGACGAGCCAATAGCTTCTACAAGCACTTGCGCTGATCAGCGAATAGATGAACCTGCTTCTAATCTCTTAGTCAGAACATCAGTTGCTTCATATGACGGTAAACTTGTAACACTATTAGAGTTTAGAGAACCGATAAATGCAGAACCTCGTAAGAATAAAACAAAGCCAATGAAGCTTGGTCGTAATCTTATTGCAACTGATACACCGGAAAAAAATAAAATCGAAGCTGAAAAACTGGCGGCAGCAGCAATGGCAAATAAATGAAAGGCTCCAAAGCGGCCACGTGTTAGAAAGGTTCTGCAGGATTCGGAGTCAGAAGATGAAACTGGAATGGTACTTCAAGAAAGCGACAACAATCAAGACTAGTGGGAAGAGGAAGATGATGAAAATGTGAGGCCTTTAACAAATGATATGTTGATAAAAAAGTCCTAGATAGATAACCAGAAGTGGACGATTTTGTGATTGTGATATTTTCCAGTAAAAAACAGAATGTTTTTTGTAGCAAAAATTCTACAACCAAAAACAAGGATGACGAATATTACGCCAGCTTCTTGAGGTTTAAAAGTAATTCGGTCGACTTATTTTACTTCCCAAGTATTTCCGATCTTTCATACGTCCAAGAACATGTTTGTTTAAGGTTGTGACTAGAATTTATTTTTATTTTTATTTTTATTTTTATTTAAAAGGTGTATTATAAATTTTAACTCATTTAAAACAAGATTCACCGTATACCTAATGGCGAATCACTGTTGCCCCCACCGTGTACACAGTGAATCAATTAGGAATTTTTAAAAAATGTCAAATATTTGGAAGCTGTCAAAAAAAATCGATTGATATATGACAATGCAATCAAAAAAAGACCTATACCAATGTGTTTTGACACTTTTTAGTAACATAGCTGCATTTTTTTTTCCAAAATGATAGGTTTAAAAAAATGATTCACTGTTCCCACAATGACCCTATAACCAGTTATGAATTTTGGAGAATTGCCAGTTGGTCATGACGAGGGAAAAGACATTTTATTAAGAAGTAATATTAAAAATAGAAGTTAAAAGGTAGGAGTAGATAGAGCAGAGACATGAAACAGTGAGACAGGTCAAAAGTAAGATAACAAGGGGAGAGTAGAGTAGAGCAGAGAAAGGCTGAAAACATAGGTCAGCAGAGCACTAGAACCAAGTAACAGAAAGCAAGAAACAGAAGACAAAAGAGAAATAGAATTTAACTGTAATTTAGAAACCGAACTATCCTATAGAGAGAGTCAAACAGTAATTATCGATTGGAAATTTGGCGCAGTCACTTTGATTTCCATATCAATTGAATAAAATACTTACATTTTCCATAACTAATTTATCGGCGTCTAAAATTACTACAACTTGTTTATTATATATAAATTGAACAGTAAACGGTGGTCCAGCCAACACTTGAACTTCGTATGGATAAGATTCATCTTCTGGATAAAATGATATGACTTTATCACCTATATGCGATGTTTTGAATCTACAATACAGAAATTAGAAATATTACTAGTTGTTTTTACACTAGGCTGTATGATCATAAATATTGTTTCTTATTCAAGCATTTTAAGCATTTTAAGCATTTTCCGAAATAATTTTTGGTTTATGGGACATGGCTATTGTCAGTTTTTAAACTGCCACCCTGTATTAAACTATATTTTATTTCTTAATCCCAACTGGGCCTATAATATAATAGGAGTAGTAAGAATGGGAAATTTTAAATTAAGATCATTTTTAGGCTGGGTATTGATTGTAAAAACACAGGCAAGAGGATATTTGGACCATTTCTACATCCTTATTATGTAGTTTTTCATAAAACTAAGATAATTACGTATTTAGTTTTGTTTAAGAATCATCAGTGGCGTTCGTGCCTTAGCACATAGGTGGAGCCACGGATTAACATTTTCAGGTGCTAAGTCCAGATTTTGGCTAATATTTTAAAGTATATTAACGTGCGCATTTATCGTTTTTACAAAATAATAAATAACATAAAAAACTTACCAAAATTTAGCTTTGAATAGTAATTTATTGCACCCCAAACCTATACAGTAAAATAAAGAATATTTTACATTGAACGATATTTTAAGTCTAGTCTTCGTTCTGTTTTATTAGCGAAAAGGTCAATAACTCGTCTATTAAAGTCGTCAATGTTATTTAGAAAAACTTTTTTAACCGACTTCAAAAAAGGAGGAGGTTATCAATTCGTCGCGATATTTTTTTTTTATGTATGTTCAGCGATTATTCTTTAACGCGATGTCCGATTTCAATGATTCTTCTTTTGTTAGAAAGGGGGTACTTCAGGGGTGGTTTCATATAAATTTGGTCAAAATATAATAATTGGGTCCATGAGAAAATCCTCACTCTTCATTTTTTAAGTATGTTTAGCGATAATGCTTTACCACCTTGTCCGATTTATATGATTCTTTTTTTGTTAGTAAGGGGGTACCTCAGGGGTGGTCCCGTATCAATTTGGTTAAGATGTAGTGATAGCATCTGCACGTTTTTGAAGTCGGTTTTTTAAAATTTTTAATTTCTAATACTTGTCAGCTGATAACATTCCTAGCGCACTTAGTCTTTCTTCTTTCATTGAGTTGCGGAAAAAAATTTTATCCTCTTTAACATAGAAAAACATCTTTCAGCTTCAGATGTTGACATAGGTGTTGTCACTAAAACTTAGAGTAATTTAATAGTTTTTTGAAAAGTGTACTTCATATCTTTCTGCGAAACTAATGATAACATAGGAATGGCTTCAGAAATGGTTAGCAACTCTTCTCTTTCGTAAAGTACATGCAGTTCTGTTTTTAGACAATTTTTTTCTAGAAATTGATATGTCTTAACTGTATTAGAGAGCAATTGATCAGGAAAATTTTTGGTATTTGATAAAATGTTCATTCATGAATAATGCGGTAGCTATCAGATGTCCTGTGAAAATGAATCGTATCCTAATCTGTTGTATAATGAAGGCTTCTATTTTTCTATTTGTTGAAACAGATAGATCTGTACAAGGGTAACGTCGCCTTTTCTAAGGAACAAGTTCATCTTTGGTTTCTAAAAGCTCCGAGTCTATTTTGTCAATAATTTTATCAATTTTATTACGAATTTTTTGCATTGCATTTTCAAAGTTTTTAGATCTTGTTTATCCTTGATATGGTCGGTAATAATCGTCTGCAATTGCTTAAAAATTATTTCGACATGTGGCATGCTTTTAGGAAAAAGTGTTAACCAAAATATGAAATTTCTGTCCTGTAATCTAAGTTTATAAGCACCGGCTTGCTCAATCGTAAAATTTAATTGAATATCTTTGTCGTTCTCTAAAATATCCATAACTTGTATCAGTTCATTTCGGTATTCATAAACTGTATTAACTCTCCGTGATTGGAAATTCCATTCTCGTTTGTGATGAGCGTGGTAGGTGGTAATCGTCTATGAACTATATCATCCAATACTTTTTTTCTTTGAGGTGATGTAGAACTTGAGGTGGAAACCTACGTTTTTGTTATTTTCAAATTGGGAAGAGGTCTCCCAAGTTCCTTTATTTGAATTTTTTCCTTGAGCGAGTGGGTAGAAAAAGGTTTCAGTAACAGATTACTTATTTTATTCATTTTGCTTCGGACTCTCGGACGATTTTTAATTTATTAAAATTTAAAAACAAACTATTCCAACTAACTACCTAACAAACAAAAGTTCAGCACGCATAAAGTGCTGATCCAGACAAGCCACTCTGTGGTGCCACTTAGTCGCGCTGCTAAGTGGCGACCACTGGTCGTTCGTGTGGACGTGTCAGCTACCGAGTAGCGCGATTCCATAGTAGGCTCATATTGGAAGGTAATTAAAATGTTCGAGTGTCATTATTAGTCCAATTAAATAACGAAAAAAAGCCCCTTCGAGCTTACATTAATTTGTAATTGGATGAAACAAAAAGGACCTTGTGTATTTTGATGTGATCTTTCCGAAAAAAAGAAAAAAAAGATGTAGCAGTTTTTCAATTTTTTTTAAATTAGGAAAAACCGGGTTTTCCGGAATTTTCCATTGTAAAAATGCTAATTATCTGGGCAAGTATCATTCCGATAGTGAAAATAAATGCACCATTCGAAAGAGGAGGCAAAAATAGTTCGGAAATTCATTGCACAGGTAGTTTTAATGGCGAATTTCTCGCCGCCAGAAGTGCTTTTACCAAAAAGTCGTTTTTTCGTTTTTTTGATCAGAACCATGGACATGAAATTTGCGATGAATTTGTGGCGAAATTATAAATGTTAGACATATGTGCCCATGAGAGAAGTTGCGTATTTTTTTGTTGGCTCTCAAATAAAATAAGTCCCGCGGCGAAATCTGACATAATTTTTCGGGAATTCGCAGGAAACCAGAGGCGTAGTTTTCTTTTAAATTTTTTTCCCATATGATTTTTTCTGGGTTTTCCGAAAACATCTAACAAAAAAAATATATTTGAAAAAACTAACTTCGCCATCGAAAAGAGCACAAAAAAATACACAAAAAGGTATACTTTAAAAATGTTAGGAAATTAATCCTAAGCCTGAGTGTAAGTTCCAACTTAGTGATAAGCTTGCTTTTTGTTCGCAAATATCTGGTAATTCTATATTTTGCACAAAACTCAAGAAACGTCTTATAACAGTAAAATACAATTTAATAAATTTTAAGCCTAATAAATTTAGATATGTAAGAAATTTAAAACTGGAAATCGCAAAAAATCAAATTACAGTAATGTAGTGTATACACGAGTTTTGGATCCCGCAAAGCGCGTGTAATGGGACTTTTGTAGGGAGAATTCTACAACTTAGAAGAAACTATACACATTTAGAAGAAATGAAATTTGGGTTTGTTTAATTTTCAGACAAAAAAACTAAAAATTGTCAATTTTAGGCAACTTTTCTCAAAAACCGTGTTTTTTGGTCGTCACTCAATGAACAGTGGTCAAAAAAATAGATAAAATATATTTGCAGAATTTTCCGTAATGTAATCGTATTCTAGACACAATAGAGTACTCAAAAAAAAAGTTTTGAGCCATTGGGTGCATTTTTGGCATTTTTGTGCCACTTCAAACTTTCGAAAAAAAAATTATTTTTTTTTAAGGAAAAAAAAAAAATTAATTGTTTGATATCTTAGCCAATTATGGTCCGATGTCGGTGAAATTCACACACACATAAGATTTCACATTTAAGAGTAAGCTTTGTAAGTGGCATTAAAAAAATTTAAATAGTTTGGCCGTTATAGGCAAACAATGAAATTAGGACCGCAGTGCATTTTGCCCTTCCGCCATATGCCCAATTTTGGGATTTCTCTTGTCCCCTTCTGGGAATCACTAGTCACATCCCTTAAGTTCAAAACGCATTTTAGTTTTTTCAAATATCTTAATTTTTACCAATGTTATAAAGAATTTAGTGTTTGAACATTTAACAAATTCAATTTTTCGACCTTCGCGCCTCAAAATACTAAACAAATTTCAATCGTCCATACCGCGAGAACGGAGCATCGGATCAAAATTTCTCAAGAGACATAAAAATTAGCATTTTTCGTAAGATTTCAAATGTCGTCAACTGCGTTTTAAGAATATTGATTTGTTTCTGACATGCGCCTGCGCAAAATTGAAAAATTGACAAAATCCAAAATTTCGGCACTTTCGAAAAACTGCTACATTTTGTTTTGCCTTTTTTCGAAAAGATCACCTCAAAATACATAGAATCCATTTTGTTTCATCTAATTACAATTTAATGTAAGCTCAAAACCCGTAATTTAATTCGATTATATGAACTCAGACGAGAAAGTACTCCTTCTAGCGCTTCTTGGAAAACGACGTGTGCGTAAAAATCGTAGAAGATTTTGGACTAAACCCATTACTTCTGAAAGTTTATTATTTGGGCAGTTTCATACTATTATGAATTCTAAATTTTTTAACTATTTTCGAATGTCAAAAGCAACTTTTAGTCAGGTTTAGTTTTCTTGAAGTCAATATAATAAAGTCAAATACAAATATAAGAATAAGTATTTCAGCCGAAGAAAGACTTAGTATTACATTAAGGTAAGTGATCATTCGTTTGAGAGTTTTTATTTATAATAAGGAAATAAAAGATACAAAAAATTATTATTATTTTGCTTTTTATAAAGGACCACGCAGTTTCCTTATGGTACCTAGCTTTCAGTCGAATCTGCTGAATTTTATACATGTTGCAGTTTTGGACATTCTAATTAAAAGTGTCCAGTGGCACAAAGTTTCCCTATGACTAGTTTTTCACGTAATAAAATTAAAAATATTTCATGAATATTGAAAGTTACGTTTTGAATCCCTAAGATATTTTTGACTATCATGATGTAATACAAATCTTTTTGGAAAATATTTGTATATGGAGTAAATATTTTTAAATAGAAAAACTGCTTATTTAAAAAATTGTTTAAAGCCTAAAAAATTCATAATAAATGGATTATTTATATATTGTTATATAAGTCTGTGTAAACACCAATTTATTATTATAAAACATTTACGTATACAGGACGAGTTAAAATATTATTTTACAGTATATAACGTATATCATAATATGCCCCAAACAAATATAACATCACAACAAAATATACAGTGAGCATCATAAGTCTTACCCCCCCTAACTAACTCGTTACTGGGGTCTTGTTAGGAAAATCGCCGAGACAGGTAGATTTTTGATTTCTACAATGTATATTTTTGCATGATTAGTTTACCCTTAATTTCATCCCTTACTGGAGGGTAGCAACCCTTTCGAAAAATTTAAATGGCATGGGGTGGTGAGTGATAGCTCACTTGAAAGGGGGTTTTATTCTCTATTCAACCGTGCAAAAAATTTAAATGTAAATATTTTTTGTTTATAGTTTTTGGGGTTTTATTACGTAAAAAAACTAATATTTATGTTAAATACAATATTTTGATGCAAATATTAGTTTTTTAGAGTAATGAATGCCAAAAAAATGTAAATAAATAATAAATTATATTTGAATGAACCGCGGTTGGCTTAAAGCTTTTTTGTTATTCTGCTCTTTTTTATTTAGCCTCTAACTGGCAAGTCAATCAGCCAGTGTAGTTAAAAAAAAATCTGTTTCATACTAATCCGCAGCACTACGATTCTAAAAATAAACACGGAATCCGACTATCTTCTTTATTAATTTATCTATGTTCAGAGCCGCTTGAAACTTGGGCCCGTTTAAATGTATAAGAAGCGCTTTCTACAGGCGAATGGCGTGACCTTTAGTAAACTTTTACAATGGATTGATGTGTAAGCAGCCGGGCCACTAGTCGATGTGCTCGGATAGATGGCGGACAGTTAATTGCTTGAATTATTTAATTTGTTGTGTCTAGGAATAATACGACGCAAGTTTTTTCAACGGGATCAAATTAACTAATGATAAATAATTTATATAATGTATCGTTTAGCCATTATTTGATCCTACAATTGTAATAATTATTGTAATTAATATAAAAAGATCGATAAGATAAAGAGATCGAAATATTTACAAATTTTGCGCCAGTGCCAAGGTCCTTTGGCCCCTTAGGACAAGCCGCCACTGATATATTAAAAGATTTGTCCAAATGGCGCAAGTATCTATAAATTCAAATTGACCTTTTACTTCCAAGACTTAGTTAAATTTTTCTTGACAGTCATATACTCATTACTCAATACTCATGCAGAAAAACAATTTTTGGAAATGTGCGGTCACGTAGATAAAATTTTATGTATCGGATCAGTTAATAGTCAGTTTTAAAATATTGTAGAGAAGTTTGACTTAGCATATTTAAATTCTAATTACGTAATATGGTGTATTAATTGGCACGGGTAGTAAATATTTTTAAAAATTTGGTTAGGAGACGCTAATGTAGTCACCTTATCTTAAACTCCAAAAAACAAAAAAGGAAGGCTGTTTGTCAATGTGATTATAACCAAGGCCTTAAATTATTCTGCCCTGCTAAGCTGAAAGGTCCTATCTGTATTTATATCTGTAACGTGTGGAGGGTGGGTTACCCCTATGGCACTTAGGCCTCATTAGGCCCATTGTGCATCTTCCTAAGATGATAGGCACCTTCTAGCTCGTGAGCCAGCCTACAGATTTAATGTAGTTGACAACATCGCCAAGAGGTGCTTCTCTACATAACACACGTTGCATTAGGCTATTCTCATTCGTTTGTCCACTCGCTCCTTCATCACTCGTGGCCAAATTTCGAATTCGTGTGGGAATATGTAGCCTTCTGCAACTTGTATTTTAATATACTATTAGATTTGGACATTCATGGGAATATGAAAACTAATAATTATATTTCGACTAAGTTTACTATTAAAGTGTAATAGTTACATCAACTATATAGCTTATAACCAGTATTTGAAATATGATATACAATGGTGTTCCATAAAGTTGGATCCATATGGGAATTTTATTAACACTATCATTAGAAAAAACGTCGTATGACATTCAATTCAGCTTTTCTCAAAGTTTAAAATAGTCCATATTAAAGTTGGCTAGGCAATGCATTAGCTATCGGTCAAATTAAATATTTTTTTAGTCGTTAAAAATTTTTTTTTAAATGCCAATTTAACAGAAATCTAATGTCAGTAGCCAAATTTGATAAGAGCTATTTTAAGTTTTTAAATAAGCAGAGGCGATTGCCTTACGAAGTTTTTTTCAAATCGTAATATTAAAATAAATTCCCATTTAGATCCAACTTTATGGAACACAGTGTATAAAACTTGGAAATGATAGATACATATAAAAAATTAAATAAACTCGTTTTCGCAAAACTTCTTAGGTAGAATTTAATTTAATCTTAATAACTAAATACTTACGGTAAAGCTTTAAGTTTTTCAATGATAACAATATCTCCCAATTCGAATCTCTTGCTTTGATGTTCTTGAACTTTAGCTCTTATCTTATTACCTTTGAGTAAAGATAAGACCAAATTCAACTTATTACCGTTTCCATTTTTTAATGGAATAACAATTATGTTAGCTTTGGTGGAGTTGTAGGATTTTATATCAGCCGAATATTTTAATTTTTCGTCCACATCAGTATTCCGCAGTCTCCTAATGGAAAAATAAATTATTGTATTAGAAGAATATGTTCAAAAATTGGGTAGTTTCAACTTACGTGCAAAAGTCGATTCGAGAGCAGTTTTTGAAAACATTTTTATCTATCGTTTGTGCAAGTATTGCTGATATCAAAGCGAAAAATACGAAGAACCTATAAAAAATATATAATTACTTAAAATTGTAGTCGTACTTTGAAGTATAAAGTAAAAGATTAGTAGTAAAGGCTTTTAAATTAAAATAATAATACATTTGCGTTTGTTGTAACAAGAATACCAAATTGTTAGATGTTATTATCTAGAAAAGACAGGAGTGTAACCATGATTGTAATACAGGTTCAAGAAGTAGACATTTTGTTTTTACATTATTCTTCAATGCTTATTTGTAGTTAAAATAAAAATTTTATGACATTGGATCGGCCTAATAAAAGTTTTCGTTCAGAATTAATCACGTTTTCATGGTTTTTATTGCAATAAACATTTTAGTTTGACAGATAAGTCAGACTTTATTAATTCATAGCCGTATCCTATGTATTTTATTAATTCGGAATTTCGTATTATTATATATTATACTTGTGAAAATATACTCGTATATAGAAATGGCGAGTGCTTTAGAAAATATTGCAAGTACAAATACGCGTAAACGACCTAGTGGACACAAATCATTAACTTTAGAAGAAGAAAATATCGTACTTAATGTATTCAGTAATCTTTAAAAAGACTGTTTCACTTTCTGTGGATGAAATATTCACTAAATATGAGATCTAAACTGGAGTATTAAAGAAGCAATCTAAAGTTGTAATAAGAAAACATTCTGCATCCAAATAGTATAAGTTTCTAGATTTAAATCTAAGTATTTTAGTCTAAAGTCTACTGAGTTTAAGTTATTCATTTTTTACATAGTCTTAAACATAGTTTTAACATTATTTTTATTATCTTCTCACTCATTAGTTTTCATTTTTTTTTGTTTTATTTTCTCTTCTTTCATTGAACTAAGTTATATTCAAATAAAAAAAATGGATGAATATATCCGTGATATTGGATATTTCTCAATATCTACAGGTAAACTTTCTCATTCAGGGGATTATAATAGGTACTGGTCAACTAGGGAACATGAAAACTATTTTAAAATTAACTAACATTTGTTTCATTTAGAAAATTGTGACATGATATGAATTAAATAAAAACGATGGTGTGTTAGTTTACGTAAAAAAACAAATCAGTTACCTTGTGCGTGTTTCTGGATCTGGCTAAGGCCTTTGATACAGTTTTTCATACGCAATTGTTGGAGGTACTGGATGTTATATGAATTCTGGGCGAACCAAATAAACTTTGTGCAAATTATTTATTAAATAGAACCCAAAAGAAAATGTATTTATTTAGTGTACCACAAGGTACTGTGTTAGGTACTATCCTCTTTATTATTTATCTTAACATTATTCTTACTTATTTAATTGTGGGTAGATTGATAAGCTTTGCAAATGATACGGCAATTGTTTACTCTAATAAACTTTGGACAAATTTAAAGAAAAACACTGAAAATTATTTTAAAAATATTCTCGATCTATTTAGTCATAAATTACTCACCGTTAATTAAAAAAAAAAAAATGTACTTTGTGCCTTTTTCTGACAGTACCTAATTATGATATATTAACAGTAGAAAGGTCAAATTCTAAAGTGGGCATTACCGCTAAAAATGTTAAGTATCTTGGACTACATGTAGATTGCCATGTTATATTTGACAATCACATTGAAAATGTAGTTAAAGTTTTGAGGACATTACTGTACAAATTTAGGTATTTTTTGAAAATATTATAGATCCTCATCATCTCAAAACTATTTATTTTGCTCTGATCGAATCTAGGTTAAGATATTCGATTCTTAATTGAGGATGAGCTGCCTTTTATAACATAAAAAAGTTAAATGTATTTTAGAAACTGTTTTTAAAAATAATATTTAAGAAAAAACTTGGGTGCTGTGGAGGTTTTAATTTCATTTGCATCCTTTTTCCTGTCAAAAGTTCCATTTCTGTCATCTTGGGATTGATAGGCAGTAAATGGTTCTTGAACTGTTCTATAATTTTGAGGGCTACTTGCAGAGTATCTTCTCAAAATTCCGTTTACATCTTTATACGCTAGTGTGCAGGGAATGGTATTATTGAGGTAGCTTATGAGGTTGTCGAGGACTATGTTTCATAGTGGATGTGATAGCACCCCTCTCGATGGACATCCTCTCAACCAAGCCTCTTATATTCACATATCTTCTATACTTATTTTTACTGCTCGCTTTGAGAGCATGTTATGTATCCATTCACTAACCATCTGTGGAACATTCCTGTTGGTTAGTGGGTGCATTATCTTGGGAAAGATCTTCTTATCAAAAGCACCTTCAATGTCTATGAAAACACCCAAAGCGGACTCTAGATTGTCAAGTAAACTCTCTATCCGGCCAGCAACTAGATGCAGGGCAGAATCAATGGATCTGCCTGGGGAGTATCCGTATTGTGTAGTGGTGTTGATGTAATCATCACATCCCTTACGTATCTTTCGCATAGCCTTCCCAATGATTTTATTGTTTAATTGGTATGTTTTTGGGACAATGTATTACATCCTTCCAGGTTTGGGTGTGAAGATTACCACTTCTACTTCTCTCCATTTTTGGGTGATATACCTCAGAGGATCTGAATATACCTAGCAGACCCCACTGAAGTAGGACTGGATAGATACCGTCAGGTCCTGGCGATTTAAATGAAGAGAAGCCAATTCAATTTTGTTATTGGCAGTTTGCCAATCATACACAGATGGGTTGTATTCTTCTTCTACCCAGTCAACCACGTCTGTGATGACCAAGACAGGGCTGTGTGTTGACAGCAGAAGTTTGATACTATCTGCGTGGTTGTAACGTTTAGCTTTGACCTTATAGCGGTTTTTCATTAAAATAGGGATGCGCTTGTTTTTTCCAGCAGTATCCGTGTTCTGAATTTATAAACGGGTCCTTCTATATACGCATTTAAACCATTGTGTTTACCTAATTTGGTGGATCGACCGGCGTCGGCTGATTTCTGTCAACTGACTGTCGAAGGCGTTTCTTCGCGAGCTTTTTTCCATAGATGTAGGGGTTTTTCTGCGACACTCTGGGCGAGTAGGTGGCTGCCCTGTATTCAAGACGTCTGTCTAGCGTCTCCGCCTATACGGTAATTGTGGGCATATGTTCAGTTTGGGGTAGGTAGGACCTCTATTTGAGTTTATTTAGGCTATTTATTTCGTTTTAGAGGTTTTTTTGGTTATTTTAGCCCTTTCTGTCAAGAATTTATTTCGTAATAGAGGGCACTGAGGCGACATCTATTTGCCACTAAGGTATGTTGGTATTATTGGTTTTTGGAAGTGGCGTCGCTTCCTCCTTCTTGTAATTTGGGGATTCTTTTTCGCAGGTGGATAGTAAAAAGGTAGTTTTGAAATTTAATGGAATTCTTTCCATCCATAATTGGGATATTGCGAAATAACCTTTGTTTAAAACTACAGCAGTGTGTGATTTGATTGTATTTTTATTGGCACCACATGTTGTAAGAGCTTTTAGAAGGATATATTTAACCACGTTCTGGATCTCATATAGTGCCCACATATGTATGTAATCTTTTCTGGATAAGCTGTTAGAAGGGGTTCTTGTGACGGGCCAGTAGTCCTTGTGACGGGCTAACACTTCTTGTGACGGGCCTATACATCTTGTGACGGGCTAGTAGGTTTTGATGGACTAGCACTTCTTGTGACGGGCTAGCAACCTGCTAGAAGATGACAGGCAGTTGGATTTGTATGCTGCTAACGAAGAAGAAATAGTAGGACATCAACCTTCTACTAAAGTTTTCCCAGCTGGAAAGAAGTCTCGGTTTACCGCAAGTTTTTGCTCACTTATTTTTATATTACAATATTTCTATTTTTAATCTATTTTACTGGGGGGTATTAGTACATAACTTTATCTAAATCTAATGTAAACGAGGTTTAGGGGTGTATAAATTACAGTAGATTTTAATAAACCCCGAAAACTTCACCAAGAGCTCTGTAACTATTGATTTTAATAAATAACAGAGTTTCAATCGTTTTTACCCCTAGCGATCGTAAATAGATCACTATTATTTATTTATTTTGATAAATACAGTACACACCCCACGTGTCACATTTTTAAGATTACCCCTAGTCCCATTTAAATATGTTTAAGTCTAATATAGCGTTTTAGTAGTGAATAATACTCCCAGTGATGCTGGATTATTGTTAATAGTTGGGGAATCTAATCGGTAGTGTACTAAATGATTTAGTTGTTAAATATTATTTATTTCGAAGTGTGAACGAGGTTGACCCCCCCTGTCAACACAAAATTTATAATAATAAAACTTGGGTATTTACATATTGAATTTTTCTTGTTATTTAACCCCACTGGCTAATTGTCTGTTCGATTTCATAATCGGGTTGGGCAATAAGACCTATGGTAAGGTAACGTTTAATAATAGTAGGAGCATACTCAATTTGTAGCCGCTTGAAGGCCTTCGTAGAGGAGATGCATTTGGTTTGGCTATTTGGAGTATTATAGTGGACCGTCACTTGGGATTGTTGGATGTGAGTAAACTCCTGGCGCCCACTCACATACATAACTTTTGCTACGCTTCATCCCTTCTTCACTGTAGTTAGTCGGCATCCAACACTTGAATTAATATAAATCCCACCTCAAGTGCTTAGGCACAGAAAGTAGGTAGCATTTATTTTTGGCGCACAACGTGGGGGCAGTGTTCACGCCATCTTTTTTTATTAGCACACCAATACTGCAGTGTTGATCTCTTGAGAGAGCCTTTTTCGCAGTAAAACAACACAAAATAGCTAATAGTTACAAAAATACAGGGTGTTAAAATTTTAAATTATAATTCAAAATTTGCCATAAATCAATAACGTCTTTAAATATTTTTCTCAAATTTGATCTACTAAAATCTTGTCAAATAACTATTAAAAAGTGTTACCAGATTAGAATTTAGAAAGTACATGCAGACTTTTTTAGTCCCGTAAAAGATTTTTAGTTTTTCAACTAAAAAAAAAATAAAAATCCTTGTTGCAGTGGCCTGAAAAGTTGTCTCTAACGTTGATAGTGCGCCACTGTTTTCATTTTTTTTTTTTTTCAAAAATTAGTTATTACTCTTACTTTCTTAATGCTCATATTAATCACCAAATTAAAAAAAATATTAAAAAGCGTTTTTGATTTATAGCAAACTTTTAATTTTGATTTCAACTTTTGTCAACCTTTAAGTGTTCATGTTCCTACATCAAAATTCTTCAATTAACGAGAGCTCTCTGGGGTAGAGTGTTGTCAATCGAACATACTAACACCCTGTGCATCTATAAATGCATAATATATGTATATTAGAAATTAGGTTAAAGTACAGTCATATCCTGAGAAACACCAATAATTATTATCAAAATTTTAAGTATTTTTCAGATATGTTAAGTTGAGACAAAATTGCAGGTTGGTCGCTCTCGACCAGGTGCAATATTACAAAAAAAAAAACAATATTATTTCGTTATCTAGTAAAAGGCCCGTATTACGAAAAGTCAAAAATTGTCTAGAGAAATATTTCACTGAGTCAACGGTAATCCTATTTTTAAATACTTTTTTTTTACATTTTTGACTAACCTTTCGAGATGACGGTCACTTTAATGTATAGACCGAATTAATACTAGTTTTATAGAAGCGATACTACATATTTATGATAACTAGCATTCTCAAATATATAATTTTGTGAAAAAATGTATCTATAAAAAAACATTGAACGTACCTTATCATGATTCCCCAGCTTGAAGTAAGGCCACGTACCATACTGAAGATAAATTTTTCGGTGATTCAATAATTTATATGCTACAATTTTATTATCTATATCTACTGGTTAAGTGGCAAGCCACTTTAGATTTCTTTTCTTCGAATGGATTTATGTACTATCAAGACTAATACAAATAGATAGAGTATCAATCACACTTTTGATAATGTATTATGTAACGTAAACAAATAACTGAACTGACTTTTGCATTCTATAGAATAAAAGTAGATTATGACCCGTTTAAAATAATAATTAAGAAACAGGTCCCAGCTAATGAATATTTAAGTATAATTGCCGCAGTATCTATCCAACGTATTGTAGCCCTTCGATGAAATATTTTGTATTTAATTAAATATTTTAAACTTATTTAGTATGTATTTGTGAAAAGTCCTGATTCGTGGTATAAATGCAATAACAGAACCTCTAGTAGTCAACGGTTAGGACTAAATCAGATTTTTTTATGGCGAAATTTAACATGCAAGTGTTGCTATTATAGGACTTAGGTAGTCTTTGGTTTCGTAAACATATCAAAGGTTCTTTCACTTTGAAATATATATGTATCGGGAAGACAAAAGGTAGAATTTTTACTCCAGTTTGAACACTTTAAAAGAACCTGTTATGGATGATGTAACGTAAACTTAGTTTTAATAATAAAATAATCAAAGTAGACTGTAATAACTTTAATTTCTTGTAATTAAAAACTTCGAACAACTAAACACGTCTTACAACATTGCTTACAACGCTGAATCTTATGATTGTCTCTTTGCGGTGTTGCCACGTGCACTTAATTATCCGACATACCGCCGGCCTTGAATGAACTAAGAGTTTTTCAATAATTAACATAATTTGTTTACTAATTAACATAATGAAAGAAAATTAAATTAAAAAAATATATAGTCTTTAGTCTAAAGGAAGGACACAAATCTTTGTCACTGGTCGCCTAAGCTCTCCATCACGAACTTTCAAATCAACCACTGGAGTAAGACCATCTGTTCCAGGATACTGTCTTAGAACACGAGCTAGCTGTTACTCAAAAACAAAATTAGTAGTGCTACCTTGTAGTAGTACTAGGAAACCAATCTTTAAAACCTCAGGGAATAGTTTTTTCCATTTAGAACGAACTTGGAGTTCTAAAAGGTACTCCTTTTGCCATCGAACCCAGAAATGCTCGACAATTTTTTGAAGATTTTGAAATTTCTTTAGTCGGTTTTCGGGTACTTCCATTAAACTAGGCTTGCTTTGGTACTGCTGCTAATCTGCGAACAATCAGAAAGTGTCCTGGAGTCAAGGAACTAAGGTCGTTAGGGTCAGAATTTAATGGTGTTAAAGGACGGGAGTTTAGTATACTCTCTATTTGAATTAAAATTGTAAGAAAATTCTCATAAGTAAAAGAGTTTTCGCTTATCACTAGCTTCCCAAATTCCCCTAAAATTTGGACTACGGGCCAGAATAAAATGCCATCGAATTCTTTCTATGGATAAATTTTCAATTATATTAGGATTAATTTCCTTTAAAAAATTAAATAACTCCGATAATTCTTTATTTACCCCTAAAACGTTAGAGCCATTATCGGAGAAAATATTGGCGGGTTTACCGCGACGACTGACAAATCATTTTAATGTGGCTAAAAATTAATCCGCCGCCAATTCCGTTACCAGGTCAAGATGCACAGCCTTTGTGCTTAGGCAAATCAACAAACATAGATAAACCTTAATTTTCTTTGCGACCCTAGTTTTTTTATCATTAATTATAAATGGACCACCATAATCAATAACCACATTTAAAAACGGTGAGTATGTGTTTACTTTTACTTCTGGAAGATCGCCCATCAAGTAAGTACCTCCTTTAGGGTGCGTGCGTGCGTGCGTGCGTGTGTGTGTCTGTCTGTATCCACCATAACTCATGAACCGATACAAAAAAAAACACCAAATTTTAAACTTAAGCTTTATTCCAGCCTGCGGTAAACTGATTAGATTTTGGGCAAAGTCGAAACATTTAGGGGGTACTTTATTGGTGGTCATTTTTATATTTTATGAAATATATCCGGTATTTACGTTTGGAGAAGAAAATTTTTTAAATAAAAGTTACTTATAATATTATTATCTATAATTTTTGTTCTATACAAAATTTTCCTAAAATGGTCCGTATTCGAGAAATTTGACAAAATGTAAAAAAATTATTTTTTATAAAAATTGTTTAAATAAAAGTTGTTTCTAATAATTTGTATCTTTTACATAATTTCTCTAAAATGGACCGTATTCGAGATATTTGAGAAAGTGTGTAAAATTCGAATTTTGAAGAAAACTCAAAAACGGATGAAGGAAAAAACATTAAATTTTAAACTTAATTTTTATTTCGGCCTGAGGTGAAATGATTAGATTTTGGACGAAGGCGAAACATTTGGGGGGTACTTTATGAGAAGCCGTTTTTATATTTTATGGAATATATCTATTATTGATGATTGGAGAAGAAAATTGTTCAGATAAAAATTACTTACAATATTATTATCTATAATTTTGGTTTTAAACGTTTTTTAATAAATGGTCCGTATTTGAGAAATTTGAAAAAATGTAATAAAATTCAAATTTTTAGGAAAATTGTTTAAATAAAAGTTATTTGTGATCAATCTCTATAATTTTTTTTATATGATTTTTCTAAAATGGACCGTACTGGAAAAATTGAAGGAAAAGTGCTAAATTTAAATTTTTCAGTATTTTCGTTTTCAATGAATATCTATAGAAAAATGTTTCGAGTTAGATGTATGTGGAAAATGTATATATTTAGTTTATCCTCTAAACATTTATAAAGGTGCTGCAATTGTACAAAATAACCGGAGAAAGCCTATAATAATTAGATAGGAAAGTCATGTATTGAACACATCAGATTTTTATAATTAAAAAAGTAAGTTCGTGAGATTTCGGAAAAATTATCGGAAATTTTTTATCGAATAACTGTTTGGAAATTTTTAGTCTTCCACCCACACGTATAATTCCGTTTTCAAGGAAAGGATCTAAACTTAAAATAGTACTACTATTCGATATATCCCTATCGGATTTTAATGCTAAATATTCACTACTGAAAAAATCCTTTTGTACTTCCTGTATTACGAACATTTTGGAATCACTTATTTCTTTAATATTTAATGGTTTTATTTGTTGAATTTTACTTAGATTTGTTTGTTTTTGTTTCAATTTTATGTTCTTACAAAATCTAAGAATATAAGCAGTTAACCGTGCCACCATAATTTATTATTTTTCAAATTTTCGGGAGAACATCCGCGAAATAAAATATCTGGAGGATTATGACAAGATTTAACATGATGCCAATAATGTCCTTTAGTTAGTGATTGTATCTCACTCACTCTGTTGGCTACGAAAGTATGCCATCGAGAAGGTTCACCCTTGGTCCAACAAAGCGCGATAGTTGAGTCTGTCCACAGGTAAATATTATCAAAGTTTATTTAATGACCTTTTTTTACTAAATTTGCGATTAATAATGTACCGAAAAGTTCTAATCGCAGTAGGCTAATCATTTTTAAAGGTGCAACCCGTGTTTTGCACATAGGAGGTTGCAAGTTATACGAGCCCTAACACAAAAATGTTCGGACATCAACTGATTTTTCGTAAAAGTTTGAAAATTTCCTTAAGGGATTCAATATCATGTTTTTCATTTAAAAGACATAATATGTATTGTTTTACATCATATTTATGATATTGTTTGCAAATAAACTGATATTGATCAATAAAACTAAGCTAATGTTGAATGCATATTTATTGACACAAATGTTCGAACAAATCACATCAATAGCAGGTTGCATCTCCCTTTGCCTTAATAACAGCTTTTATTCTATCAGGCATAGTTTTAACAAGCTTTTCACAATCTTTCGTGGTAAAAGAAACCCACATGTTTTGCAATTTTACCCGCAAATCAGAAATGTTGCGCTGTGGATCATTTCTTAATTGCTGCTTTATCTTGTGCCATATAGTTTCGATTATATTTAGATCAAGGCTGCTGAAGGGCCAGTCAAGGACGGAAATATTGTTTTTCTTGTGGTCTTGGCTGTATGGCAGGAGGCGCCATCTTGTTGAAAAGTAAAGTTTCCATCAGGTGATAAAATTGGAATTGACACTAACAAATTAGTTTCAAGAATGTTCTGATATTTTTCTGCGTTTACAATTCCGTCTATAAAGTGCAGTTTTCCAACACTGAAACCAGACATGCTTCCCCATACCATAACCCCTGATGGAAATTTTATTTTTCTCTTTAGGCAGTCTTTGCTAAAGGCTTCACTTTTGTTTCTTATAACACGTGATCGATGGTCACCCACGCAAACATTAAATTTTGATTCATCGCTCAAAATGATTCTTTTTCAGTCTTCAAAAGTCCACATTGCCCGTTCCTTTGCCCACGCTAATCGTCTTTTCTTTTGTTTTTCCGTCAGCAAAGGCTTTTATTTTGCCTAAACCAATGATTTCACTGCATAAATATGAGATTTTCCTTAAACGTAACCTACGTACCTTATAAAAATGTAAACCAGACTTATGGATCCAGCGACGACACGTTTCTCGTGAAACCAGTGTTGCCAGAATATATTTTTATAATGTACTAGATTTATCTAAAAAATGTACCAGATTTCATAAAAATGTACTACTAGATTTTTCTAATTGTGAAGTATGGTCATTAAAGAGCAAAAAAAGGTTTATAGAGAACACGAACACAACAATTTTAAACAATATTTTATCTCTCGACAAATTTCTAACAGTATTATATCCCTCGAGCAATTTTTAACAGCCTTTTTTTACCTTTCAAGCTATTTTTGAATAATATTTGATCTCTCGTGCAATTTTTAAGCAAAATTTTAACAATTTCTAACACTATTTTATCTCTCGAGCAATTTTTGAAAAAGAATTAACACCTTTTGATATTTTATCTCCCTACCAGCTTTTAAACAATTTTAAACAAATTTCTAACAGTATTTTATCTCTCGAGGAATTTTTACCAACATTTTTATCCCTCGGGAAATGTTTGTACAAAATTTTTTGTACAATTTTTAACACTATTTAAACACTCGAGCAATTTTTAACAGCTTTTTTACCTTTCAAGCTATTTTTTAACAATATTTGATCTCTCGTGCAATTTTTTATCTTTCTAACAATGTTTAAACAATGTTTTATCTCTCGAGAAATTTCTGACACTATTTTATCTCTCCAGCAATTTTTATTAACATTTTTTATCTTTCTAACAATGTTTAAACAATGTTTTATCTCTCGAGAAATGTTTAACAGTATTTTTTAATTTTCGAGTAATTTTTGAATAAGATTTTAATAACTTATGAAACTATTTTATCTCTCGAACAATTTTTAAACCTTTTTTCATCTCTTGAGCCATATTTAAACAATATTTTATCTTTCGATAAATTTCGAACATTATTCTATCTCTCGAGCAATTTTTAACAACTTTTTTTATCTCTTTAGTAAACTGCGCAACATTTTAACTCTCGACAAATCTATAAAAATATTTTAATTCTCGATAAATTTTTAACAATGTTTTATATCTCGAGCAATGTTTGTACAATATTTTATCTCTCGAGCATTTTCTAATAGTATTTTATCGTTCGAGGAATTTTTAAACAATGTTTTATCTCTCGAGAAATTTCTAATAGTAGGTATCTCTTGAGTCAATTTTGAACAATATTTTATTTCTCAACAAATTTTTCAATAGTATTTTATCCCTCGAGCAATTTTTGAACACGATTTTAACAATTTATAATACTATTTAATCTCTGGAAAAATTATTAAATATTTTTCTCTCATTAAATTTCTAACAGTATTTTTATCTCTAGAGAAATTTTTGAACAATATTTTACCCCTCAAGCAATTTCTAATACTGTTTTATACTTCGACCAATTAATAACACCCTTTTTTTACCTCTCAAGCCATTTTTGAACAATATTTGATCTCTCGTGCAAGAAATCTCTGAAGTAATTTTTAACAACTATTTTAATTTCTCTTGCAATTTTTGACTAATATATTTTACACTTCAAATGGAAACATACGCTAAAAAAGTACTAGATATTGTTTCGAGTGTATTAGAGTACCAGATTCTCAGAGAATGTACTAGATCTAGTACAATTGTACTAGACTGGTAACACTGCGTGAAAAATTTCCAATTATTTCTTCATTTCATTTTGCTGTTATTTCGCTTACAGTAGTACTTCGGCGAACAGTTTTACAAATCCGAACAAGAGATCTTTGCATTCGGGAAGTGACTTTGCGTGGCCGACCAGCACCATGTCTTGAAATTTGAGTTGAACCCGTCTCTCCATATTTTTTCACAATATCTGACACCATGGACTTTGCGACATTTATTTGTTTAGCAGTATCCCGAAAGGTTTTTCCTTGGTTAAACAGTTTTACTATTAATTCTCTAATTGCACCATTTGTTGCTTTACCACGCGACATTTTGGATAATCGAATTAATTCTCAAGTTAAAATGTCAAAATAGAAATACTTTTTTTTGTTTCCATGGCTTGCTAATATTTGTTTTACTAACGTGTCCGAACATTTATGTGTCAGCAAATATTGCATTTTTATCAACATTAGTTTAGTTTTATTAATCAATATTAGTTTATTTGAAAACGATTTTATAAATATGATGTAAACAATACATATTATGTCTTATAAATGAAAAACATATGATATTGAATCCCCTAAGGAAATTTTTAAACTTTTTCGCAAAATCAGTTGATGTCCGAACATTTTTGTGTTAGGGCTCGTATTACACTGATTATCTATGCATCGAATAAAAACACAAGCCCCATATGCTTTCTCAGAGTTATCCGAGAAACCATGTATTTTAATATAATTATATTGACTTGCTGTTACTTGCCTAGGAATTTTAAAATTATCAATAACCTGATAATTCCAATGAAAAACAACGCCATCTATCTGCTAGTTCACTTGAAACCTCTGTGTCCCATATATATTTTTCGACCACAATTCTTGCATTATTAATTTAGCTATTATTAGGTATTATAGGTTCCAATATTCCCAGTGGATCATAAATTTGACACAGCATACCTAATACTGTGCGTTTTGTACCTAATATATTAATTTTGACGTTAATAAAGTATTTAATTTTATCGTTGATAGAATTCCAGTAGATCTCTAATGTTTCACAAGGTTCATTTTCACCGATATGTAGTAAATTTACATCTACTTTATGATCTACCTTGAATTTTGATATAACTTCCTTATTATTAGATAGCCATTTTCTAAGGAACCTCATTAGTATAGTGAATATATCTTGTTGTAGGATAGTTCCTATAAATTGGACATCATTTAATGATAGTCCAGTAGAAGTGCTAGTTGATGCGTCAAATACAACCCTACAACGCGTGGTTAAACTAGCCGATTTAATGACAGCATGATGTGGTACAAAATAGCATTCATCATCGTCCTTGTTATTTTCAATTTTTGAAATATGACCCACATCTTCATATTTCTTCATTTGCAATATTCAACCTCTAGCGAATTATAGTTTTTTCATTTTCGTTCTAATGACAAGAACCTATTTAATGTTAAATTATTTTCAAACGGAATATTAACTATAAACCGTCCCGATTCATTTCGTTTTATCGTTTTTTCAAAATAATCTTTGCAATATTTTTCTGCTTCTGTTAAATTATTATTTTAAGCAGAGATTTTCTCAATTTCCCAAAATTTACTAACGATCTTGTCAGTTAACCAATTATCATTAACTTCTTGCAAAACATGAAAACACGAACTATTTGACTCTCCTAAATTTAAATTTAATTCTCCGGACACAATCCACCCGAATTTACTATTTTGCAACACCTCTCATATGTTATTGACCTTTAGAGATACATGACCAAAATATACTTGATCCCAATAATATGTCGATGTCATTTGAAATATTAAAATTAGGATCAGCCAATTGTATCTACTGAAGGCACATCCTTTATTTTTCATTTAAATTTAATAGTAATATTTGTTTCCGTATTTTCATCAATTACTCTTATACGTAGAGATAAGCGGATTTAAATAAGGTGGCATCCAATTCCTAATTTCAGGGTAATTGAGTTATTATATCCTAGTGGCCCATCCACGACCCTTATTACAGAGCTTTAATCACTTAAATTGTACAAAAAACGTCAGAGGTTTCAAAATTGACACAATTTAAAAACGCACTTAATATTGGAACGTACAATTTTACCCTGAATTCAATGGTGAAAAATATATAATTTGAATCATTTAAAATTATTGACATTTAGGCTATCCCGATATAACGGAAGACCATGTATAGATCACAGTATTTTATAAATATACCACAAAGTAAACCCTGTAATTTTTATTTAAACATTTTTGTCATATTTCCTATGATAAGAGAAATATTGAATATCATCGCCACCCACTAATGGGCCACAAATATAAAATATAATTTATTCATAACAAAGTTTAAAACATTTTGCTTCAAATAACTTAAAAAGGTATCAGATTTACATTTGCCGTTAAAACGAGGTCTAGTAATTTTTAAGGATACTAGCTTGAAATTTGGAAAAGGCATAGTTTTATCCCTTCAAAGATTTACGCCATCGTCAACAACAAATCAAAATGATCGATCATGCAAAAACATTTTGTAATAAAAATAATAATTGTGCTAAAATATAATTTAAAAGCATTTTCTATGAACTATAACAGGTCCGGCTTCTTCGTATTCCGATTTGGAGATCCACATTTGTTGGAAAGTTGTCAAACTGGCGAGAATGCTGCCACCTATCCAAACGGAATACTTCCGCTCCGGTGGAGCTATTATTTTGATCTTCATCGAAGCAGGCGCTAAAGCTGCTATCTCTTTTTGTATTCGATCCGCTATACCTGGAAACATGGTACTTCCTCCTGATAGGACGGTATTGGCATATAAATCTTTTCTTATATCCATGTCTGATTTCATTATGGAGAGGTAAGTGGTTTCGGCTATTCCTGGTATTTCCATTCCTACAAAGATAATTAATAATGATGTATGAACAAAAAAAGATGAATCGAGTTAGATGTAAATTATCTATTTGACTTTTACAACAATACATCATTAATTGACAGTATTTTTATATTCAATTCTATTCCAGAAATGAAACGTCTAAAAATTATATCTAATACGTAGGTATCTGTAGAAAAAGTTATACTAATTTATTTAACGATTTATTATTCAAACATATGGAAAAATAAGGAATGAAATGAAAGATATACGTATTTAAAGTGTATGGTAAAGAAAAATATATCAACATATTTTCCAGTTACTTTATAACTAATCAACTTGATAATGAATTTACATATTACTTTACATTTCTGAAAGCTACAACTTTTTTCCTAGCATCTACCATGCGTTGGAAAAAACCACATGGTTATGAAAAGATGATCTCGGCAAGGGTTTATTAAGGTCTTGAAAATAGATTCACAAACACTGAATAACAATCAATTTCAGAAAAGGCAATTACGAAAGTAAAATACACATTCTTTTTGCAACATAACCTGGCGTGATGGAAAATAATGAATTACATTTTTTAAGTCATCACTAAAAAATACATAGAAATTAGTTCAGTTCTTCTAGAAGATTAAATTAAAATATTTAGTCAAAAATATAAGGAATAAAATTGTGATGGTTAAATTTAATTATGATTATTAAAAATAGACGTATCTAGATATCTAATGTGTTTACTGATGCGATTATTTAATTGTTAAGCACTTTTATCAATATAGATAGGTGCCTAAATATTTTTATAATTCGTTATAAATTACTTTTTTTCTACGTTTATCTACAGATTACTAAAAACACATAGGAGCTCTATGCACGATTGTAATATTAGACAATCTTACAATGCCTCATAATTTTTAAAATCGAAACTAATCCTTTAGACAGACGAAATACATAAGGATATTTTTTAACTTCCATAAAATAAAGACAATTTAAAAAATTACCTATTAAAGCTGGTTGAAACATAGCTTCCGGACATCTGAATCTCTCATTTCCTAGAGTAATAAGTTGTCCATCAGGTAATTCATAAGTTTTTTCCAAACATGAGGTACTTTGAGCTATAGCCAGATCTTGTTCGAAGTCTAGTGCCACATAACATATTTTTTCTTTGAGATCCCTTATGATTTCTCTTTCAGCCGAGGTTGTAAAACTGTAGCCCCTTTCTGTTAATAATTTCATTAAATAGTCCGTCAAATCTCGTCCTGCAAGGTCCATACGTAAAATAGCGTGTGGCAAAGCATAACCTAAAACAATATATACATTACCTAAAACTTTATGTATAATAAGTACAACGAAATAAATTAAATGGTGGGAAAATGTCACAATAATCGTTTCCATCGTTCTAAATAGCCCAATATATTTGGTAGTGTGAAACAAATTGAAGATCTTGGCGTTATCTTTAACACAACCCTTAGCTTTAACTACACCGAAAAAAAATTCTTACCGTGGCAGTAAGAAAAAGTTAATTAAATATGCCTCAGCTAGAAGATTTTACCGTGACAGTAATACAAGATTTGCTAATATTTGGATTACTAAGAAATTATTCGACTGCGGCAGTAAAACTATGTTACAGCTCTGGTCAAATATTATTACAGAGATAGTAATTTTTTCTTACGGCTACAGTAAAATTTTATAACTACCACCAATATCTAGGATTACCATACGTAACATCTAGTTGTAATGCAGCTAAATAAATCGATTTGCCTAATTTTTTCCTCTGGAAAATCTTCGGTCAATTTTTCATAAAAGGATTGACAAAATAAAAAAAAAGAAAAATTGTTTATTTTGAAATCAGCATAGCCCAGCAGAGCTAAAAAAATGTTTTTATAATTTACAATTTATGTACAAAAAAAACATTTATTTTTAATCCAAAGCTGCAGGAACGGAAGTTTACTCGAAAACCATTCGAGATATAAATGTCAAATTTGGATAATAAAACAATATCAATTTTACCATGGTATTTTCTTTGGTCATACAAAATTTCTCGAATGTTTTCTTAAAATAAGATGCCTTATGCTTTCTTCATCTAATAATTGAAAGGAATTATCATCAATGCCCTCATCTAAAAATAAAAATTAAATTTGTGTGGAACGACAATTCAAGTTTAATGAAACGTAGTATTTGCAACTGAAAGTGAACTTGTTTATTGTCACTTAAGTGTTTTTATCAACAATCTACAATATTTTTATATTTAAGGTTTTTTTATGATTTTTATCACTATATAAAGCATAACCAGGTTGTTCGATATATTTTTTAAGTAATCTCAAATAGCAATAGGTTTTAGAAGTTTTAGGTTGTTTTTATGAGCTTTCCCGCTCAAATTTCGCGATTGCAGCAGAAAGTTAGAGACTAGAGTAGAAATGAAACGCTAAAAAATGATATAGATCGATACGATTGGTATCGCTATCGCTATGTCTCATTGGACACAGCTTTCTTTTAAATCTAACAAATTTATTGCTCTGTGAATCTTAACCAAACATTTTTAATAAATTTTAATCTAAAAACTTTCTCTTTGAAATATTACATTTTTGATACTGCGAATATGCTCCGGTGCAGTTAAAACATTTCTAGACCGTATATCTCATCCTTAATTCGAAATAAAAGCATTCATGCATTATGCATTTCCCGCCTTTTTTACTAATGTATAAATAAAAATGGATACAGGTACTATATTTAGATAAGTATATTATTTCGAATTACTTACCAACGAAACTATGAACTAGGTCCGAAAACCCCCACTCCGTTAACAATGCACAATATTCCATATTCAATATTATACCATTTATACCCCCAGATAGAAATTACGCAGCACTTCGCACTTCTTCATGCACGCTATGACCTAAGCTCACGATGCGACGATTGAACGTGTTGACTGCTTCTGTGATTATCGTCGACTCAAGTCAACGCCTGTGCAAAAGGATATGATCGAAACTCTTCGTCATTAATCGTTACGGTTCGGTACATTTATTGTTAACCTGTCTTACCGTGGTTGTTAGAAAAATATTACTATTTTGCAGATTCAGTATGCTAGTTTTACGGTGGTAGTTATAAAAATGTTACTAGTCAAGGTCTAACTGCGGTAGTAATACAAATTACTGATTCAGTAAGAAAGGTTTACTATGATGGTAATACGAATAATAGTAATTCTGTTTCTAACTGGAGTAGTAAAAAAATATTACTGCCACGGTAAGAATTTGGACTGTAAAACTTAGTTTACAGTCCTAGTAACAGTTGTTGTTAGACAATCTAACAGTAGGAGTAAAAAGTTTTACAGCCATAGTAAACTTTTTAGTAGTAACACTTTCTTACTGAAGCGTTTTCCTCAGTGTATCATATGTCTTCAGTTATAGGTAGTTGTATGAACATTTTAGGTAAATTTCGAGTTATAACCTCAAACAATCCTTTTACAACATTCTGGTATTGCTTATGAATAATAAAATTCAGTCAACTCGATAAAGGGCGTGGTAATTATTAAATTATCATTTAAATTACAGAGGAAACAATAAAACAAAAACCAACCTTCATATATGGGTACAGTGTGCGATACTCCGTCACCAGAGTCCATAACGATACCAGTTGTCCTTCCGCTGGCGTACAGGGACAAGACAGCCTGTATAGCGACGTACATGGCGGGACAGTTAAAAGTTTCGAACATTATCTGCGTCATTTTTTCTCTGTTGATTTTTGGATTGAGAGGGGCTTCCGTTAGAAGAACAGGATGATTATCAGGCGATATTCTTAACTCGTTGAAGAACGTGTGATGCCAAATTTTCTCCATATCGTCCCAATTACTGATAATACCGTGTTCGATAGGGTATTTTACAGTCAAAACGCCTCTTTTTGTTTGAGCTTCGTCTCCTACGTACGAATCTTTTTGACCCATACCCACCATCACTCCCTGAAATACACAATATATTTATGGACCCTAGAACACAACGGGTCTAAGTGGCATTTTTCTCATTTTGAGTAAATCAAGGTTATAGTTATTTTTGTAATAAATTAAAAGACTAAAATTATTTTTGTATTCCAGTTATAACCTGCTTTAATTTTAGGCGGTTTTATAAATATTTTTTCATATTTTTGCGCTCAGACCCTTCGATTTTTAAAAAGACTTTAATTAGAACCCTTGATCTCTGAGCAGAATTGCATAATATAAAGTAGCTACAGTAGTTTTATGAAATTAAAATTTGTTCTGTTTACAGAAATGTATATGAAAACTGTTAACTTACTTTACCCTATAGAAAGTAGAAATAATTATGGTAAAATCTACAAGCTGTCTAAAAATACAAAACTCTTTTACCATGTTACGAGACAAAATCAGTTTCTTAGATGTACTACCTTTCAAGAAATCCAGTTAAATCTCTTTATCACTTAAAAGACTGGTTAGTTTACTACCACATTTTGTATTTTACTGAATTTTCTCAAAGACTGCCTTCTAGGGTCCACGTTTGTTTTTGGACGAAAATTAGTTGAAAGTTTTATAAAGGCTGTGTCCATTATAAATGAAATATAAAAATTTAAATTTATAGACAGAAATATAGAAAAATTGCAGGTACTTTTACCCAATATATCACGATTAAACTAAACATGCTTAAATAAAATATATATAGTTTTTTGAAAATTGAAAAATCTTTATTATTTATAACTTTTTTATTGCTAAAGCAAACCAAATACAATTTAAAAGCAAAAGGAAAAATAGCAAAATTGATCAAGACTATCAGTAAAAATGCACTAGGTTCGTTAGTGTATTTACAAGAAAAGTGTTGCAAATGGCGAGTATTTTACCCAATTTTTAGGTATTCTTACACAATTCAAGAACTAATTTAACATTTTTTTTATTTAGGAGAATGTACTATTTCTTGCACTCTCAGTGCTTTAAAACATGTTTATCCATTCATTTTATTGGTGATCGGGTAAAATCGGGTATACTGTAATTTTTTAATGGGGATTGTCTCTGTTTAATCATTGCAACACCTTATGGCAAAAAATGCGACTCCTTAACACTTTGTATTCTTAAAAATAGAGAGAGGTAAAGGTAGCCTTCATAACCAAACCTGGAAGGATATAATATACCGATCAATTATTCTGACCTCGTTTTCCATGAAGACATTGGAAAGACTATGCGAAAAGTACATAAGGAATGTGGTGATTACAACAATACCACCACTACACCCAAATCAACATGCATACGTCCCAGGTAGATCTACTGGTTCAGCCCTTCACTTAGTTGCTGATCGAATAGATAGATTACTGGCCATTAAAGAGTTCACCTTAAGTATTTTTATAGACATAGAAGATGCTTTTGATAAGACAACCTTTCCTAATATAATACTCAATAAAAAACAGTAATGTTCCATATGGTTAGCAGGTGGATACACAAGATGCTCTCAAAGCGAACAGTAAACATAAATGTAGAAGATGTAAATATAGGAGGCTTGGTTTGCGAGGAGACGATCACAGAAAGGGGTGCTATTACCTCTACTGTGAAACATGGTTCTCGACACCTTTATCAGCCGCCTCAATAATGACAGTCACTATACAATACTGATGACCAGATCATTCTGCAAACAGGGAATTTTGAAAACATACTCTGAGAATGAATGCAAGTAGCTCTCAAAATTATAGAAAAGTATTGCAAGGATCATTCACTGTCTATCAATCCCAAGAAGATAGAAATGGTACTTTTCACAAGGAAAAGGATGAAAATAAAATTAAAACCTCCAGAACTTCTAAATATAAAGCTAAACTTTTCAACAGAGGTAAAGTACCTAGGTCTCCCCTTTGACACTAAGTTGACATGGAACTCACACTTGGAAAAAAGAGTCAAAAGAGCATATAATGCCGTCAAACTGCGGGGCGCACAAGGTATTTCTTCCCCAAAGTCATCGCATGAACTTACAAGGCCATCATAAAACCTATGCTAACATACGATGCAATTGTCTGGTTACCGAAAATCTACAAAATTAACAGCTATTCACAAACTAAAAAAAATTTAAGGAACAGCATGTCTCAACATAACAGGATCCACGTAAACCACCGACCAGAGCAATGGAAGTCATTCTTAGTCTTACTCCCGTTGGTATTTACATCAAGAAGGTTGCTCTAAAGACAATGTCATGCCTCCGCACCTTTAGAATAAAATCTCCTGTAGGATCTGGTGAGGCAAGACGTTGCTTTTGGCAGGAGGCGCTCCCACTGTTTTAAGGGAATATGAAGTCCATCTCACCGTTAGCCATATAAAGTTATAACAGAACACATAGAACAGCCAGAAGTAGTAGGTGCGATTCATAACTACACCAACGGTTCTAAAACCAAACAAGGCTCAGGAAGTGAAATGTACTCCAGATCCTTAAACCTAAACATAAAATTGGCTGTGAGCAGTAGTGTCAGTGTAGTTCAAACCGAGCTCACCACGATTCTCATAGCAGCAAAAAAAATCATGTGAATTTATTCAGGATTACTACTAGAATCTCACGAAGCTTTGGTCGAAGTATCCATCAACAATGTGGTCAACTAACGATGGATCAAAGGTCACGCCACATTGAAAGGCAATTGTCTTGCTTATTCACTTGCCAAAAAGGCAGCCAACCAAATACTTTATGGATCTAGCCCTTCTTTTGGACTACAATATCGGTTTTGGCAAACCTAATTAAATAAAATACCCTTGTAAAATTCAAGGAAAGATGGGATAAAACAAGAAGCTGCAGATTTGCCAGGAAGCTCTTACTTGATCACAAGCATTCTGACTAGACATTCCCAAGTACGAAAGCATCTCCATATCATAACGCTGCAAGGGGGTGCGAGAAGAAGATAAGACCATTAAGCATATCCACTATGATTATCTGACGCTCTCATTTATTAGAAGATTTCTTTTCGGTGGGAATTGGCTAACATAATTGGCTAATATAAGAGAGGCACCTCTTAGCGAGAGCTACATTAAATCTGTAGGCTGGCTCACGATCTAGGAGGTTCCTATCTACTTAGGAGGCCCCACTGAGGCCTAAGTATTGTGGGTCAACTGATCCACTACACGTTACAAATAAAAATACACTGTGTACTCAAGTAATAGCCCAATAATAATTTAACAAGTTGTAGCTTTAAACCTATTTCGGCAACAATAAACATTTTAGTTTGATTCAATCGAGATATTTTGAATCAGAGTCTTTTTGTTTGATCCGTGTCCCATGATGGTGGGTGAGGTTTTCCGGGTTTTCCTCACCTGTAAGTCAAATGGCACCATCAATCATCTTTAAGTCGCCCCGGAGCGCCACGGCAAATAATAATAATAGCCGTCCCTTTCCCCGGACAAGCTCAGCTTTTGGGGTTAAAATTCACTCGTAAGGGGGTGAATTAGGGAGAGTATTATTATTATATTATATTATTTATCGAAATCGTACGATACTGAGTACCCCAAATACATTTATTTTGTTTTTTTATTTTCTTTAATTTTTGTTATAAGTTACAATTTTTTATGGACACCAACTGTGCAGCTACACAATGATGAGTCACAAGATACATTTATTTTGAATATTCGTCAGTATTCTAAAAGCTTTCTTCACTTTTTTCTAACTAATTTTTTACTATTTATATTCAGTTTAATTATACGGTCGTTAATTGTTATTGCGTTCTCTTTTGCTCCTTTAGGTTTTTGATCATACGAGAAATATTTAAAATTGTAACATTTACTTGGTATCGTGGTCTGCCAACAACACTGGCGAAGACTGCTCGTGGTGCATCATCTCCTGCAAAGCCAGCTTTACACATTCCTGATCCATTATCTACCACTAGCGCAGAAACATCGTCTTCGCACATTTTTTTTTTCTGAAAAAAAAGTTTATTAATGCCGTTTTTCTTGACCTTCAAGATCATTTCAAGGCCAACATTTTTTTGATTGTAAGCATCATTAAAGAAAAAATAAATAACTTTGGTCTAAACCATTTTCCTCTTTTCCTATGTTTTAAAATAATAAATAAAAAACATGTTAGACGGATGGTAGGGTGCATTAGTTGGCCTAAACCAAGTATGATAAATTGGAATTATACTATGGTTGTAGTAGCTATTATAACCTACTTATCAATCATATGGTGGGACAAGGGTAGCAGCTAGTAGAAAATTAGATAATATACAATGGCTGGCCTGTCTAACAATAACAGAGGCCTTTAGAAGTAAGACAACTTCAATAATGGAGCTGCTGCTAGGCCTTCCTTCATAAAACCATGTGGTGAGGAAGGGTTATGGCAGCGACATACAGGCTGTTCACAAATGGATTTGGATGAGATATTTCCAGAAAAGGACACCATCCAATGATATAAGGGAAACTAAAACAAAATCCAGTGTTAAGAATGCGATCGGATAGAATAGCTATTACTTATGACTGTATGAAACTTTTCGATGTTCAAATACCAGAAAGGGCTAAAGGCCTATTTTCCAGACCAAACCGAATTAATCTTCTATACAGACTGTTGGAAGATGAAAAACAGAACAAGAGTATGCGAACTCAGGGAGGAGCATTAGTGCAAACTTGGGGTCTTCTAAACTAAAGTAACAGCAATAAATGCCCAGGTTATACCTAATGTATCTCTTGGAGATAGAAGGCTCTTTATTAAGACAGACAGTCAGGCAGGTCTTAAAGCATTGAAACGGGTAGAATGTAGAAGTGCAATTCAAGTTAATATTGGATTGCCAACAGTCCCACCAAACCCTAGCAGAACATAGCAAGGTTGGAAAACGAGAAAGCAGACCTTCTAGCCAGAAAGAAAACCGAAGAAACTCTAACAAGTTAAATGGAAAATAATAATGGAAAATATAAATAGAGAACACTATAAGCTCTGGTTGGAACGTTTTAATAAACCTTAGCAGGAGCGATATAAGGACCGCAATAATAGGAGTCTTTACAGAAGGCTGCGGCCTTAGGAGACACCTAAATATCTTAGGTAGAATATGTGAAGAGGAGGACGAAACTGCTATTTACATAATATTGCCATTGCCAAGAATGGCACGTCGGAGTACAATATCCGAAACCTGAAAAAATCGCGAAGGAGCTTGACAGGCACATTTCTGAATATTAACCTAATGGGGTAGAAACTGAGAGGACAGTATAAGTGAGCTTCGAAGCCTACCCTAATTCAGATAGATAGCTGGAGATCTGCGGTCAGTAAATTTTTAAAGGAATGTTTTATTAACAAATTTCAAAACGGGTAAATAAAAACAAAATAGATAAACACATGCCAATTTTAAAATTGGAGAAGTTAATAAAAAATAGTTTAGACAAAAGTTATGTATTATTTATTACTAATCAACATGGTGTATTTAAAAGTATATGCTTCTATTTAAAAAATAAATTTGACCTACAAATAACCTTGAAGGTGGTAAGTAAGCGATAATCAAAGCACTGCATTTTGTAGAATTAATAAATTAAAATTACTATTAGAATTTATTTCTGTTAAATATAACGAGTGAGTAGTTACAGTCCGTAAACAAAAAGCTTGCACACCTTGTATTTTGGCAACATGTATTGGTTAGCTTTCAAAAATATTGAAAAAGGACATTTTGGTGTCCATTTTAAAGAATTAGGGATTATTTAACTTTTTAACGCCCTGTTTGTAGAAATTTGGTAATAGGATAGGATTGGATTGAGAATATAAATACTTTTAATTAGGACGTCAAGTATTGTAAAATATTTGAAAAATTCTAAGAATTTGATTTTACTTCCGTTGGCACAAAAAAGTGCGGGTACCCACTTTCAATTAAAATGAAACATCAATGCAGGCTTTTCAATTACTTCCAAATATTTGTTTAGTAAAAAATATCACCGTATATAAGAAATTTAAAAACTGAGATTTCGAATCTACTAAAAAAACTAAAGAAAATATCATTTTAATATGATTAAATTAAATTAATAAAGACATATCAATAATAATTATTATATTATTATGTATATTATAAAGGTTAAATAATAACAGCTAAGTTAAGGGATGATTTAGCATCTGTCCTACTTTCGCTATAGCTGGGTTCTTCTAAATCTGGGATATTCTTTATTTGCATTTTTAATGTATTAATAACAAAAGAAAACTTACCAGTTTTTCAAAATATTATAAAGAAAATTGCGGCTGACGTTCAACTCACGAGGAATCACTGAAACGAACTGGAAAATAACGTTATGATTTCGATGTTGCTCTGATTAATAGCAAGGAATACATTGGAAACGATCACTGATTTTGCACCGTTAAATAAAAATTTTACATAGCAATTAAACACATCATGCTGTCTAATTTTTAACGGACTGTTTGCAATTCATTTTTTTTTTCTTTATATTTAACACTCTACCAAGTAATTAATGAATTAATAACGCGAACGATTTCTTTAAATATTAATAAGGTACGTGAAAGGGCTACGCAAAATAATTACTTTCATATTAAGTGCGTTTATATTAGGTAATTAAAAGGGTCGTAAAAACGGATTTACACATATTTTAACACGTCAAAATATGAAAAAAGAATATTATTATCAATGCTCAAAATTTAATAATAGTTTGTTACGAGCCATTAAAAAAAAATCCTAATTTGAGTTGGCTATGAAATTTAAATAATTTGGGTTGGTACTTTTGCCACTTCCATAGAATGACATTTATTATTTCCTCGAAATAATACTGCAATAAAAAAATAAACAAATAATTAATTAAATATCAAAATCATAATCAAAATTTACCGAATGTCGTGAGAGCCATTTTCGACCAGTTCGGTGATGTTAATTCCTTAAGTTCCTCTATACCTTATTTGAGTCATCACCTTTTAGCGTAACTATAGAGGTAAGTAGAACTATCCCTTTGTACTAAAAATGGTTGTCAAAATTTATGAAATTACGATTACGTTACTGTACCAGAAGGGCGTTTAAAAGCGACGAAAGTTGTAACTGTCGCACAGTGGGCTAACTCGCAGCAAAACCTGACCATGAAGGTAAAAAAAAGTAGCGATTTCAAACTTTAGTTTCATGAAATTCCGCGTATAAGGCACTAGTGAATACTAGTCCAACGCTTTGGTGGCATTCCATTCTCTAATCTCGATGATACGTGTCGTGATAGTCGCCGGTAATCACGCGACGTCGATAACAGCGATATTTTAACTGACACTTTGAGTTATTCTGTTTACATACTATAGATAGCACCCCAAAAGGTAAGTTATCACTTTTATAACCATTTTAAAAAATTATTTTGACTTTAAATAATAATATATTTTAACCTGTATCCCGAAACATCCAAATTCTCACAAATCATTGGCTACAAAATTTTCTCCACGTTTCTCCACTTTGTTTAATGACTCTCCTACATCCTTAATGATGTAGTTGACGGGTTCAAAAGAAATAACTTGCGCATGTTTGCTCCATTTCAGTGAACGATAGTTTTTCTACCGCGTGGAAGAGCCCGGCAAGCGTGGCAGGGATGGCTGTATTGTTGTACTTCCCCGCGCACTTAGAAAACTCGCAGTTTATACCAGCTAATAAGTAATGAATAAGAAATTATTAATTATAATCATGGGTTGAAAACTTTTTTAATTTTTTCGAAAAAAAATTTTAGTTATCGATTTTGTTTATTTTTTTTACGTGCAATCAAAAGCAAATGTTCAAAAAATAAAAGGCGTTGTCGTTTTTCTAAGCCACGGTATGTATAAAATAATTTTGATTTGTAATCAGTCCAGTAAACTGTAAAAAAAAAATAATTTTAGAGTCAATTATTTACACATTTTTAATTAATTTTATATATTTTTTATTAATTATTTATAATTTTTTTTAATTCGCAAATACTTATCAAAAAATACCATCTGTCTTTTTTACTTAAACAGAAACCCGCTTTTTGTCGTCTGATTTACATATGGATGAACAATTTCTATACCTAACTATATATCATTAGATCTTGCTCTTCTAGTACAATCTAGTACAATCTCGTGTTGCTTCTTGCAAATCTTGATATAAAAATTTACATTTAAATTCTGGTGGTTACTTTCTGAAACCTTATTTACTGCTTTTGGGTGGACACTTTTTGAAATAAAGAACCATAAGAGATTGTCCTTCTCTCTTCTACATACCCGTAACTAAAAATATTTGACTAAAGGAGTTACCTCCAAAAATTCCTGTCGATCCGCCTATGTTCCGCTCTCGCCTGTAGAACACTCTGTCTGCGTAGGGCGCGAGACGATCGGTGTCGAACCTGTTAGAAAGTTGCCAAATCCGATCGAGTATATTCTGGGATTAATCTAAAACCAGTGCAGTGTGCAGCATTTTTGTACACATAGGCTGTATGTTATCGTAAAAATTAAGATCATAAACAGAAGTTGAAGAACTGTCAGCTAAATTAATTTCTAATGCCGCGTTTGAGAATCCACATCCGATGCATTTTTTACATCTCGAGCGTTTTTTTATCCACATCGGACACATCTACTACATCTACATCTGCGTTTGTTTATCCCAGATGTACCTGTTCAGTTTACATTTTTTACATCTCGATTTGAAATGAGGTGTGAATGAGATGTTCGTTCCATGCTAGAAAGTAAGTGTTCTGTGAAGCCTTGTTGGTCAGTTTTTCGTTTGTTTATGAAAAGTGATTAGATTGTTTAATTTTTGTTAATATTTCAAATTTAGGTTGATTTGTAGTCTCAAAAGTCAAATTTAATAAGTATAAACTTCTAACTTGTCATTGACATTTTATCACGTGACCAAATAAAGTCTAGAGCGTTTGTTTATTACATCTACATTCAGATCTAATTTTCTATCACGTGATAAAAAATTCACATCTCAGATGCATCCGATGTGGATTCTCAAACGCGGCATA